TACCCCCCGGGCGATTCTATCCGAATCACCTGGGGGCTCGGGGGCTACACCCGACAGGTGCGCTCGTGCGCACCCTCTGGTGAATCAAAATACCCCCTCGGCCGATTCTATCCGAATCACCCGGGGGCTCGGGGGCTACACTCATCGGGTGTGCTCGCGCGCACCCTCTGGCAAGTCAAAACACCCCCGAGCGATTCTATCCGAATCACCCGGGGGCTTGGGGGCTACTGTCAGGGACCGAATACTGGGATACCCAAAGAGGTAGAACTAATAACCATCAAATGCTGATGCTTCCGAACAGACGAGAGCGCATCTACACTTCTTGCCCATATGATTGAAGATTGGCTGTGCCTCGCCTAACCCCTAAGGGTTGGCACCGCCTCGCCCGACTCTCGAGGGCTTGACTCCGCCTCGCCCGACGACCGAGGGCAGGCTCCGCCTCGCCCGATGTCCAAGGACTAGCTACGCCTCGCCCGATGGTTGAGGGCTGGCTCTGCCTCGCCCGACGTCCAAGGGCAGGCTCCGCCTCGCTCGACATCCGAGGACTGGCTCCGCCTCGCCCAACAGCTGAGGGTTGGCTCCACCTCGCTCGACGTCCGAGGGCAGGCTTCGCCTCGTCCGACGTCCGAGGACTAGCTCCACCTCGCCCGATGGCTGAGGGGCGGCTCCACCTCGCCCGACCTCCTAGGGCTGGCTTCACCTCGCCTGACGTCCAAGGGTAGGCTCCGCTTCGCCCGATGTCCCGGGCATCTACACCCTGCTCCTTCATAAATGACGAGCATAGGGTAAGACAGGACACTCAGGTCAACCACAGTACCGAGGACCATACCCTACATGCTTATGGGAAAGTACCGTCAAGATATGGCGGGACAGGCGCTTTAAGCCCTTCTAGGCATGACAGAGCCCAAACAGTGTTGTAGGCGCTGACTTTTGCCTTATAGTGTTGTGGGCGCCGCCATTAGCCCTCGGACATGGACCCTGACAAAAGCCTACGACAACCACTACAATCTAGGCGGGGACTCAGATCATCTACAGTAACGGACATATGTCACTTCGCCGTCTGCTCCCCGTTGGGTCATGGCTCGGCACCCTGGCACGCCGCACCATCTGTGAAAGTAGGATGGGACGCGACCACTTCCAGAACGAAGCCAGAGCATGGCCCTATCAGGATCGACGAACGTGCTATCCCTAGCACCATCTGCCATGTCGCAGAGGTAGGCTCAAGGGAAAAAGGAAGACCCGGCACCTTCAAGGACCTTCTCTACCTCTGGTTTTTTCCTCTTTCTCCCATCTCTGTTATACCTGCTCCCTTTGGTCTATAAAAGGAGGGCAGGGCACCCCACTAAAGGGACGGATCGATTCTACACACACACATGACATAACACACAACCAAGCAAAGAACCGAGCTCTTGGCATCCTCTCGAACATTCCATCAGAGACTTGGGACTGTCCCTCTCTCGACCATTGTACCCCTACTACGAACCTTTTTTAGTGCTAATAACACGAGCAAAGCAAAGAATTGGACGTAGGGACATTCTACCCGAACCAAAGATAAACCTTGTGTCCTTTAATACACCATCCGGCCTAACGCGCTAATAAATATAAATTTACTAGTTGGTGTTTATTCAAAACACCGACACCAAAGACTACTTACTACAGCTGAGACAGAAAGTGCAGTGCCCTCATTATACGTAAACATTCTTATAACAAATTTGAGGTAACTAACACCATTCTATTCTTATAACAAGTGGAGGCCTGAGACCCACATTTCTACCTACCTTGCGGCGAGATGACCTTGACCATGCAGACATGAAGGCTATCTTTGGCCTTCGTTGGGAGGACTTCCAGTGGAGGTATAGTTGACAACGATCACTAGAGGGAGCTGGTGGCTCAATTCACTAGCTTTCTTCTATCGGACGATGAGGTTTCTAAGAAAAATAATTGAGCAATTCAAGCCTATTTAATACTTGTGTTGCTTTCCTACAGCCATCGGGTCTCATTTTCTTTGGTGAATTTTAGAAAAAGTTTCGGTGTTTTGTCGTCGTGGATTATAGAGCGCTTTGATTACTTAGACCCACAGGCTGATGACGCTCAGATCGACAGGTTCGCTAGAGTGTGGCTCTGGCACTTCTTTAGTGCTTTCCTATTCCCAGACGCCTCGGGCAACACCATCAGCTGGATCTTTCTTGACATACTACACCAGCCGTGGGATAACATAGCGGCGTACAGCTGGGGCAGCGCAGACCAAGCATGGATGTATCGATAGCTATGCGTTGCCTGCTGTCGCACCTCAGGGTATGCGAACCTTGGAGTTGCTCCTACCTACTCCAGGTTTAGTGTTGGGAACAATGGCCTGTTGGGAGGCCTCTTGTTACTGGTTTCTCTATAAGTACTTCGGTTCACTATATTCTTCGAGGCAGTTACATATGATGAAATTATTAATGGCTAATTCATTATCGTATTCAATGCAGCATTGGAACGGGCAAGATACACTCCCTACAGCTTCGTATATCTAGACGCAAGCAGAGTTAGTTCGAGGGAATGTGAGGCGCAAGTACAGGAAGTACACGGACTGTCTCGACGTCCTGACACAGCACCAGGTTATGCTCTCTTTACTATCATACATGTGACTTGTTCAATGTATACTATATCACAACCTAACTCAATTATGAAATGTTTAGATGCATTGATGTCCTTGGGATGCTTCGGAGCTTCAGGACTATCTGAGTCCTATCACTAGGGATGAGTCAGACGAGTATCGCTGCAACATGCCTCTTATTTTCTTCCACGTAGTCGAGATTCACTTGCCTATCAGGGTTTGCGGGCAGTTTGGAAGAATGATAGGCTACCCACCACCGTTTTACTCCACCAATCAAAAATTGCATGGGTGCGTTATCGATTAATAACAAAGCTACAATTCAGAGGTGTGTATGGTACAACTAACAATTGTTTTATTACAGGTATGACCGTAGGAAGAGGTACAAGACCAAGGATTGGCACGTGACACACAACGCGTACAACCAGTTGTGGCAGACCAGGGACCGGTAGCCGATCGATGCGGGTCCCCCACACGACCAACACACATTCGACGAGTACCTACGGTGGCTTCATAGGTCTACGAGGACACATATCAAGCCCCCGTACACTGAAGAGGCGATTAACGAGGACGACAAGGAAGATATGATCGAAGATGTGTACGACATTGCCACTAGGGACGACACACAACTACAGAGAGCCCCGCTTCAAAGATACGTGGTAAGATACTCGAATGGTATAATTTGTTATCCATTTGGTATTAAGTATGTGTACTAAAATTGTCCAACCGTATTTCTGTATCCAGGCAACACAATTGTCAAGGTTGTCCAACGAAGCAGTGTTTTGGCTTCACGAGTCTAGAGGGCAGGGGCTAGGCGTTCTCGAGGCTTTTATAGAGGTGAACATAAACTTGTCCGTTCCGAAAATGTTTCTTTAGTGTGTATGTGTTTGGGAAATGCACTAACTTTAACGTCTATTTATGCAGAAGGTGAAGCGGAGCTACAGGAAGCTAGCTCAGAAGTTGAGCTGCATGGACACTCCTTGGGTGGAACCCGATTACACAGCGCGGTCGGGTGGCACGTCTTCTGGCTCTTTGATGACACCAGCCGGCTCTTCTCAGCCGGTGACAGGTGCCGCTTTCGTTGTGCGTACACCACTATATTATTGTGCTGGAAATGACCCTGTAAACGAGGACGACGAGGACGACCCCTAGACTTCCGTATACAGCACCACCAGTGGGACCCTTGGCAGTAGGATGAGATCGGCATGTCTCAGCTAGGTGGTGCCCCGCTTGGTACCCAAAGAGCCTCATATGTAGTAATAAAGGTAGTTTCTTTAAATACGTAGGCTCCATGAACTAACGATCATAAAGATTATAAGTAATCGTGCATATCATATACTTGCGGTATGATGAGCCGCATACACCCCAAGAACGCGACCACACTAACGCTTGGCTACACTCCCAATGTGTTGCCTATAAATCCAGAGAGAGAGGCGGCCCGAGGGATCCTTACACTCCGAGACTTAGTCGGTTACGTCGAATCGAATGTTGTCGTCCTCAAACTTGCGCAGACTTAGTTGGTTATGTCGAACTTATGTCGAACCAATGAAAATGTTACGTGGCAACTTGTCAACTTACGCATGGACTCTATTTATTTGCTTCATATTCGCTTTCAATGCGTCATGGCACTTGTAGTTGTTCAACTCTCGCTTTAATTGCAATTAGGGCTGGTGGTCGGCTTCTATCTGCGTCCCGTGTCCTACCGCGCCAGGGGCCTTGGCGCGTCGATCAAGCCGCGCCAAGATCGGTGTCGCGGCAGACTCTGGCACGTCACCGGTCAGCGCCCTGGTCGTCGCCACTTCATCCCTCTCGCCGCGCCACCATGCATGACGCGACACGACGTTTCGTCGCGCTTCAGAAAAATAAATAGGCGCAGGTAAAAGCGTTAGTTTTGAAGAAAAAAAATAAAATATTATTAAATTTAAAATTAGTATAAAAAGTGTTAAAAATCAATAAAAAAATCTCCTCTGACGTCCCCTGCTTGCCCCGCCCCGCCTCGCGCTCGCGCCCTCGCTTTGCTTCCACGGCGACGGAAAGGAAACGGTTTGTTTGGCGTACGGCGACGTGGAAAGCTCACCCGTACTATAATGCAACAATGGCCCCTCTATCCTCTCCCCAATCACATCTCGACTGAGTTATTCAATTCAATGCTGCTCCTGCTTCCTCCTAATCCAGCTGCTCCAGCCTAGCTCACGTCGCTTCCAACAGACGCCACCGCCACCACCCACCAGCCACCCCGGCCTCGCCTCAGTGTCACAGCAGGAAGCAGCGGCGCTCCGTCACCGCGCCGCCGTGCCGCGCGCCCGCCAACCAATAGCTCCCGACGGCGGCGGCGGCGGCGGCTGCTGGATCGGGGCTTGCGACTTGGGAGACGCGAGTACCCGTGTGCTTACTTCATGCCTCCATGGATCCGGTCGCGGACCCGTCGCCGTCGCGGCGGTCCCTGAAGCGGCGGCCGCCGGCGCGGTCACCGGAGCTGTCGCCCAAGGCGGGTCCGGGGGCAGGGGAGGCGGCGGAGGAGGAGCTGATCCGGCGGGTGGAGGAGCTGGAGGCGGCGGCTTCGCGGCTGCGCGGGGAGAAGGAGGCCGCGGAGGAGGACGCGCGGGGCCTGCGGCTGGAGCTCGACGCGGAGCGGGCCTCCGCGGAGACGGCGGCCAGCGAGGCCATGCTCATGATCGAGCACCTGCAGCGGGAGAAGGCCGCCGCGCAGATGGAGGCCCGCCAGTTCAAGCGCTACGCCGAGGGCCGCGAGGACAGGGAGCGCGAGGTGCAGGAGGATCTCGCCTCGCTCTCCGACCTCGCTGCATCCTACCACTCCCGCCTCCAGTCCCACGGCATCGACCCGGACTCCTTCACCGACGAAGAGGAGGATGAGGAATCGTACGAGGAGGTGGGCGCCGAAGACGTGGAGCAGGTCGACATGACTGGGCATGAGGTGGAGCGGAACGCCCGCGACTCGAGCAGTGGCATGGAGGTGAAAGCCATGGTCGTCGGCAACGACCGCGATGGGGAGGAAGAGGAGGACGAGGAGGAGGAGGAGCCGTCGTCCCCCGTGGAGAAGGAATTCGAGTACACGGTGGATGTTACCTGCGCGAGCACAACGAAACCAGCTACGTCTGTGGTCGCAGAGTATGTGGGCGACGGGAACTCGGGGGGATTGTATGCAAGGGTCGAGGCGCTGGAGGCAGACAGGGTGGCGCTGCGGAGGGAGATTGCCGCTCTGCAGGCGGAGAGGGCACAGCTGGTGATGGCCAGGGAGATGGCGCGGCGGCTCTGCTGGGAGATGGTTGCTGAGCAGAGAGCCATTGTGAAGAAAGCAGTAGTCCCTGCGAGCAGTTTCTCAGTGCTCAGGATTTGCAAGGTATACATTTGCTAACCATATTGGTCATTGTTATCGAGCTGTTTTCTGTCTAAGTAACATCGATTTTGTTAGTTAAAGGTGCTAAGTTGGGCACATTTGGAGTGACTCAGTCACATTGCAGGGATTGACTTGGTAGGAAGACTTTCCTGCTGTCTTTGATAAAATGGAATGTTGGCAAGTCTTTTCTGGACAGGAGAAGTAATTAGATCCTTGCCATTTTAGTGTTCAGAAGGAGCCATATATTCAAGCGATCTCTTGCTGTGCCTTAGTGGAAACAGTCTTTTAGGGTCAGGAGAACTGAAGTGTACCTTAGAGTGGCCCGATTACACAAAACTAGGGTTTTAGCTTCTTTTTCTCTGGTTCAGTGATGAGGGAGTGGACAACATGGTCCACGTTTTGATTTCATATAAGTGCTTTGTCATTCTTGGTTAGACTTCTAGGCTAAACTTGCACAGTGAAGTGCTTCTGTAAAACTCAAAGTGCTTCAAAATTCAAAGTATTGAGAGGAAATTTAATATTTAAGTTTTATATGGTTTTGGTTCGTGGAAAAGTATAGAAGTAGTTCTCATGGCAGAAATATGTTGCTCTTTTGAATTCAAGTATGTGATATTAGCATCTTTGAAGAGTTGCCATTTTGATCATCATCTTCATTTGTACTTTTTGGGTCAGATCTATTAAAGCATCAGCATTAAATTTACAAACTTTTGCTTTAGTTGTTTGGGGCATAAGGAAGTTATCAATTATCATATTATTGTACCCCATATGTGTGTCGTGCAATTAAGTTAAGATCCATCGCTGCAGTTGATTACTAGACAGTGTTGCTCGTGGGATATTTAATATTCTCCTTGAGTATCCATATCCATTGATGGTATATGAGTAACAGTTGGTTGTTTGCACATAATCGTAGTAGTATTTATTTATATTTTAGTTAAATTTAATACACACCCACATTGATGTTTTCAAAAATGATGTTTTCATAAGCAAGTATTTATGTTGTTCTACTTCATATGCATAATGTGCAGCTCAGTAAATATCCATTAATGCAGGCCATAATGGAATTACTAGACAAAATTGTTCTTCCAAAACGTTATGGTCATTACACCTTCTGATAGAAACTTTGTGGACTGAGAGGAGCTCATTTACCACAACAACAACAACAACAACAAAGCCTTTAAGTCCCAAACAAGTTGGGTTAGGCTAGAGTTGAAACCCAGCAGAAGCAGGAGCTCATTTACCACCGTTCCCAAATATTCCGAGTAAACTGTTGGACATTTGAGCTTATTTTCAGTCAACCATTAGTCATGTTAGATTTTTCTTCAACGTGTCAAGGCATGTTGCAGAGCATTGAGTACTGAAAATTGATACAATCACAGTTCCAATTTGTCAGCACACGAAGTTGTATTTGATACTTGTAGTCTGAATTTCCATGCCCATTAAATTGCCATGGTTTGTCCTTGAGAAAACTAACTATTTTCGATATCTTTTCTGCAGTGGGTGCTCTCAATACTATTTTGGAGAAACAGAAGCTCTACAGTCAAGTAGGTTATCTGTGATGGCTTTATCGTGCATCGCCTATAATGGCCCTTTCCACTCTGAACCGAAACTGAACCGGTGCTGTGGATATTTCGTAGGTATACCTTTGGTTTGTCGACTACATTCCTTGGCCTCCTGCTGCTTCTCGACAGATCCGCATTGTTGAGTCCCTGGTTACGTCTGCCAAGGCCACAAAGATGACTATGACCTTCTCCATACTAACAGCCAAATGCTCGTAATCCAGAGATTTGAACAATTGAGCTTTATTGTGCAATGTGTATTGGTTCTTTGATGTTTCTTTTTCCTTTTGCCACGTACAGTATTAGTGTGTTATTCAGACTACTAGGCTTGAATAGCTTGTAATTTGGAGCTAACTGGCATGCTCTGTATAGAGTGTACATCATAGTAAGTTGTGGAACTCGATGTTGTTTTGAGTGGTGGTGGTGGTTTGATGCCAGTGTATAGTGTATTATTCTCGCTCCAGAATTCTTCGGTTAGCACCTAGCACTATTTGAACCCTGCCGCGAAAATTAATGTCAGCGCTTAACAAGATGTTTCCCGTCTCTTTGCTTAAGAGTTAAGTGTCCTTTTTTTAGGGTAAAGTCCAATTTTCAACTCACATACATGTCAGTCGGATTTTCAACCATGAACCATGAAATTGGGTATCAGATGTCCTTCAGTTGATTTTTATTTTCTAAAAATAATAAAATCTGTTTTAGTCTCTAAAATTTTTCATCTAATTCGTTTTTAAATAGATAATGAGCACCACCACAAGCAATAAAACAATATGAACAAAAAAAAATAAGTTGTAAACAAATCTAAATTATCACAAACAGATAGGTAGAATTTTTTAAAAATAAATTGCTACTAGTTTCATATTTTTATAATTTAAAATAAATTAGTTATAAATTTTTAGAGATTAAATCAGTTTTTTATTTTCTCACAAAATAGAAAATCGTCTCTGAAACAACTAAGAGGACCAAACTTATCAAGTTTTGATAGTTGTATGACTCCTAGTATTTAGTTTAGTAAATCAAAGTTGAAAATTAGACTGGCGTATAAGTTGAAGGTTGAAAAATGAATTTTACCCTTTTTTAATTGAACCTCATAGCCAAATTGGTTTTGATTTTTCATATGTGTTGGGATTCATTTCGTCCACTGGAATTTCTAAGTGTTACTGTGGAATGGTTCTTCAAAAGTCAGACATATATAAATGTAGAAGGGATGTGTAACCATTTGAAAATGACTGTCCCTTGTCTATTTGACATTGATGCAATGATGCCGATGCTTATACAATTATTCCAAAAACTTTTCGAGAAGGGTAAGTCACCATTTCTCGTGTCATATCAAACTGTTTGAAGCATGGGCATTTGGAAAAAAATCAAACACAGATGAATTGAGGTTGAGGATCAGAACAACTTCTGTATTATAATAATACTCCGTATGTTCTCCTACATATGTACTAGTCACCTGGCATCTGAACTAGTCAGGATGCTTATATCAGGATGGAGAGAAGAAATTTACAAGTGCTGCTGCGTGACATCATGGCATGCACAGCAGCAAGTAAACCGCGCTGTGCGTGTGAAATTTGCCCACCCTGTGTGCATGTGGAATTTTTGCACGAACAGCGCGAAGAAAAAAGCTGAAAATTCTCGTACACTCACTCTATGTGATAAAAATACAGTAATAAATAGGTAATTAGAACAAGGGGCTCAGCTCCTGGATGGCCTGGTGTTGGGGGAGAAGATGAAGCCCGGGGACATCATCATCCCGGCGGCCATGGGGGACGGCAGCAGCGTCGTCGTTGCTGTCGCCGGCGGCGCGGCCTGGCGCTGCCCGAGCATGAGCAGGAGAGGGTCGCCGCCGCCCTCCTCGGCCATCGCGGTCGAGAAGCTGCCGCTCGGCACGTACGATGCCGTGGCGGGCGCGGCGGGGGGCTTGCCGGTGAGCCGCTGCACGACGGTCATGAACTCCTGCGGCCTGGCGTGGATGACCTTGGGCGTGTGCTCGTACACGATCACCGGTTGCTTCTTGGTGGTGGTGGACGGCGCCTTGTTGGACGTCGTGGTCGGCGGCGACGAGCCCCGGGACGACGACGACGACGACACCTTCAGCGGCAGCGGCCGCGGCCCTCGGAGGCCGCCAGCAGCTTGCTTGTTGGAAGGGGACGACGACGCCTCGGAGGAAGGCATGGCGGCCGCGGCCATGGTCATGGCAGCTAGCTGCACCTGCTCAAAGCTTCTCGATCAACTGGCGTTGCGTGCTTTGCTCGATCAGCTGGCGACGTGTGCTCTACGGAGTACACGGAGCGGTGCAGTGCAACGCGCGGGGGCTTGCTTTATAGAGAGAGAGCCAGAGAGGGAGATGAGCCGAGAGATGAGGATGGAAGCGAGTGTCCCGCGAGGCGGTGCGATGATGTGTGACAGTGTGAGCATACATGTCCAAAGTCGCCGGTCAAGTACGGCAGGTGACCGTTGACATGTACCGCGCTTCAGCTTCAGCTTCAGCTCTCGTGAATGAATGAAAAAGTCAGAAGTTCCGTTCGGAAGGTGTCTCTGGTCAAGGAGGTAGGTTTGAAGTGGTTAATTAGCGGTGCATTGCATGCCTTGTTTTTTCCCTGTTCGGCAGGCAGGCGCGTAGTGGGCATGCGTGGCGCGTCCACAGCTGTGGAGTGTTTTAGCTCTGTACATATAGTAGTATTTCTTTTCATTCACGAAACACTTTGGCTTCTTGTTTTTGACTCTCTCTGGTAATTACTCCCTCTCCATCTCTAAATGAATGCAATTATGAAACAGCATCGTATTTTAGCATATCACCTTTAACCAATTATAGATAAAATTAAAAAGTATAAATATTTATAATATAAAATAAATATCATTGGATTAATTCTGAAATGTATTTTTATAATAAATTAATTTAGAGTCATAAATGCGAATATTATTTACTAGAAATTGGTCAAACGTGAAGCACTCAAAGTGACACGTAATCCATAGTTGCATTCTTCTATGGACAGAAATGATAAGAAGTACTGTAGTATCTGGCGTCACGGTCGTGGACTTTCGTGGAATAGTTCTGGACGATCTTGGCCATGCACTTGAACTTTGAAGTCCTAATAACTGTGACTGATTTGTTCGCGCTTATAATTAAAGTATCCGGTCTCGATTCTTGAAGTTGATACATACTACTATTCTCATGCATATGCATCTTCTCGAGGAAACGAAAGAAAAGGTAAAAATATGGATCGGATCGGCCATTGGTTAGTTTTAGTACCGGTCCTTCCGCCTGACTTTTACCAGGTTCATTCACACCACAATTCAACTCTGGGCGTCCGAGCTGAAACGGAAGCTGGATATAGGGTTGAAAACTGAGATGTCCCAATGTGCAAGTGACAAGTAGTCTTCCCTCTTGTGACCGGTAGAAGATGGTCGCCTGGTCGGAGTGGTCGGCGCCTCGATCCTGTTGTCTCCGTGGACGACTGCACCTCAGGAGTCAGGATTGCTGATGTGCGTCAAATTACGGATTTGAGACGACAAGGGTTGTTTAAGCATCTCGATCGCAAGAAGAACAAGAGCAGTAGCAGCAGCAATAGTAGTGTAAACTTGGAAGACCATTTACCAAGGCCGGGCGTTGTTTTGAACAAGGAAGTCAACCGAGCTAGTGAAAAAAAAATTACGATCTATTTCAGCTAGCCGCCCAGCAGTATCTCTCAGGCGTCAACCCCATTGCCCTGTTCAGAGTTGAGGCTACATTGCATTGATTAAGCGGCCAAGTCGGCGCCGGCTCACCCACGACATACTACCTGTACCTGGAATGCGATCGCATGTTCAAAGCCATTGAATTTGGATCCGCATAAAATAACGTGTACACTGGAAGCTTTTAGAGTTGTATTCGGTGTGTACAGCCCAATTTCAACGCATCCGGACATAATAAGACAGTAATAAAGTGCAACAACGGCCCCTAAATTTGACATAGTATCGTCTAAATTTATAAACTTCAAAATGCATGTTCCACGTACATGAGCTAGGCACACGCTATGTCACATGTCTAAACAGGTCAAAACTAGATCCAACATGCAAGTCCACCACTACTATAGAACTGACATCTAGTTCCGGTTGAGAACTGGTTTTAGTCCCGGTTTCCCAACCGAGACTAGCGTTCTGAGACTAAAGGTGGTGTTCTTTAGTCCCGGTTTGCCACAACCGGGACTAAAGATCCTCCCAGCTTAAAAAAAAATAATGCCTCCCACCGCTGCGCTCTATGAGATTCGAACCCAAGACCTCATGCACTGCCTCGCGCGAGCTTACCACCCCACCTACACAACACATTTAACAATGGATGGGATGCTTTCCTTTTGAACTAACCCATCGGGGGACCTTTAGTCCGGGTTGGTGTTACCAACCGGGACTAAAGGGGTCTACCTTTAGTCCCGGTTGGTATTATCAACCGGGACTAAAGGTTGGAGGACTTTTAGTCCCGGTTGGTGGTTCCAACCGGGAGTAAAGAAACCTTTAGTCCCGGGGGCAAAAAATGCCGAGACTAATACCAAATTGGGATATCGTTCTTAAGTCTGTTCTCTAGTAGTGCACACTCAGAGCCTATAATCTATGCCCCTTAACATAAACATCGTATAATAATAGAAAAATGAAAGTAATACTCATATTAAACAACAAATTAATGTGGCATTTAAAATTTTCTATCATTGATGATTGTATATTAACATCTGTTTATCCAATGATTTCTTCACACTACCGAATGCATACCTTTAGATGACATAGGTCGGCCTCCCCTCTTGACCCTCCCCCTCAGGGTCGAGCATGTCCACACCAGCACTAGCAATGCTAGATCAATCTCTAAACTTAGCAGAAAGTGTCATTTAAGTCCCCCAAACTCCTCAAATACACATCCACATACATGAACCGTCTAGGTTACATCCGTTTGTTGACACGGTGGCCCACGCCGTCACCAACAAGGCCAAATAGCGTGGCTACCATGCCTTGTTCGTGCATCCATTGGAGACGACCATGCCCTCGATTGCTATCGGTCGGGTTGCACATGGTCGTGCTTGCTCCGTGACTACACACTTGAGCCAGGATGCACGCACGAGCTGGAAAATGACCGAGGACGAAGAGGCGTCCGGCCCCGACAATGACTGCCTTTCCATAGCCAACTCTGTGGTGGGCATCGTGGCTATGGGTAGCCAGGAGGAGGTCGAAGCCCATTTTAGGGAGGGCGCTGCGGCACAATTGCCCGTGATTGCCGTCAGCGCATGCTTCCGGCCACCCGTGTCGACTCTTCCTCAACTTCGCGATGGCGCCGACCATTGCCTACTTCGACACGGTTGGTTGACCTTGCATTCTCTTCCTCCATGCCAATGCATACCCGACACTGCATGCTCTTGCGTTGTCGTTGTACCTTCCTCCCGCGTCATAACGCCAAACCGATGGTCGCAACACCCAGGGCGACGACAACATGGAAACTAAGGTTGGCAGGATCGGATTGGGTTGTGTTGATGATGGTCAAACATTGAGGTGGGCTCCAAGAGGTCGTTAGCGGCCAGCGATGAGCTCCTGTTGCTAGCGGATACCTTACTAGACCTGCTTGCCGACAAGGACCATAAGGTAGCCGCGACACGACGCCGACCACGCCCAATGGTGTCAAGATTGTTCTCGTCATAGGCAAGGCTGAAGAGCAACCAACATGGGGCTATGTTAGTAAACAAGTCAAGACTAGACATTAGATGGACGTGAAATGCATCAGCAATGCCCAAAAGTGGGGGAGGTTGAATATAAATATTCACCTTTCATGAAATAGCAGTGTGTGTGGGTGTGGGAGGGGGGGGGGTGTTGTTGGCAAAGTCGCTGAAAATTGGCCAAACGGCCGCAATGTGTGTTGGGAGCGTTCCATGCGCAAGGAGTGGGAAAAAAATTTTGTTACGGAAGATGAGCTGATGGATTAAGTGGTGTGAGACTTGTGTTTGTTAGCAAAGAGGAATTACGCCCTTCATCCCAAAAATAATACTATTCTAAGTTTTGGTTAAATCAAACTTTTCTAAATTTGACCAAGCTTATAATAAAAAATATCAACATTTATATCTTCAGATAGGCTTACTATAAGAATATATTTTATAACCAATGTAGTAATTGATACTTATTTAATATTATAAATATTAGTATTGTTTGTACAAATTTGCTCAAACATAAAATTGTTTGACTTATCCAAAAGTGAGGATTGCATTTCTTTTTGGAACGGATGAAGTAATTTATAAAAATAAATGCTATTGCGGAAAAAAGAATGGGCTTGCTAGCGCCCCGATGCCCGCGTCTGTAGCTATTTTCCGCGCCATTTCGCGCGTCCACGCGGGCCCAAGTCGCCCCAAACGTCACCAGCATCGAGAAAGAGGGAGAGGGGGCGACTGCAGCTGACGCCGGGAGGAGGAGGAAACACTGAGGCGAGGCAGCAAAAAGTGAGGAGAAAGATGCAACATCCGATCTACTTTTGAAACATCCAGATGCAACACTTGCAATATACGTCTGAAGGCAGATGAAACACTTGTGAAACGCCTAAAAAATACTTGAAAACCATTACAAATATATGCAACATATAGATGAAACACTTGTAAACAAGCATATGAAAACACCTATACCACTTGAAACATATGCTTGCAACATGCATGTATATGCAACATCCAAATCTACTTTTGCAACATCCAGATAAAAACACTTGCAACATATGTCTGAAACAGATGAAACATACACTTGAAACATATGTGTATAGCCATTACAACATGTGCAACATCTCTATATAGTTTTGCAACATCAATATACAACACTTGCAACATACTTCTGAAATATCTGAAACACTTGAAACATACTCTTGCAACATGTGCTTTCAAAGATAGCATCTCGCTTGTCGCTTTGGATGAATGGAGGCTCGTCGATGCGGAGCTCGATCGTCAAGGGGGGGGGGGGGAGATACATGCGGGCGGGCCATTCTCGCTACTTCCCGGTGGTCGCCCATGCAGTGCAAGCAGTGCATGCGACGAGGCCGCCCGAGCCGCAGCAGACCTCATCCGCCTCGTCCGAGAAGCTCCTCGGAGCAGAGTCCCGCCTCCGTGCATCTCAGCATTGGAGCACAAGATCCTCAAGGAGACCATCGCCATCATCGTCTGCTTTCGAGACCAACGTCGTGGCTCCAGACAGAACGCGCGCCTCCGCCAAGCTCGACGCCACCAGTGACCAGCTAGCAGCGGGTGGTTGAGTTAGAGAAGGAGGTGGTAGAATCGCTTTTTTTTTAAAGCCGGGAGCAGGCTTAGTATTGGGCTCTGCAGCCCACAAAGGACACGCCCAAAGCGTCCAATGACCTGAGGAGAGCATTACCGAAAAAAGAAGCAATTGGACTGGAAGACCGGTAAACATTTTAGTCATTTGTTTAGTAGAAACCTAAGTAATTCTGCCACATGAAAGTTAAATTCAGCCAAGGATGAAACGGCCCGTCCAGTGACCAAATACGACTTGGAATTTGGTGGGCAAAACGGCAATTAGCCATCCGATTTGGCGCGAAGAGCCCAAGACCCCGATCCGCATCCCGCGGTGTCACTCGCCTCAAACGCCGGAGCACGACGCTGACAAACGGCTCCATACGCGGCGGACCCACACGCCGCATCCACACGAACCCGCTGCCCGGGACCCACCTCGGCTCCGTTTCCATTCGTCGGTTCCTCCGCTTCCGCCCCGCTTCCACGATAGATCCAACCTGAACCACCCAACCGGTAACCGCCGCCCCCGCGTCCAATGCCACCGCCATCGCCGTCGCCGCCGCCGCTGCCGTCCGTGTAGCGTCCCCGCGGCGATGGGCAACACCTGCGTCGGCCCTAGCGCCACCGGCCGCAACGGCTTCCTGGCCAACGTCACCCTGTGGCGGCCGCGCGGCGACGACCCCGCGGCAGCCCCAGCCCTACCGCCGCCCTCCTCCCCCGCCTCCGACAAGGCGCCCGATCCCGTAACCATCCCGGAATCCGAGCATTCCTCGCACCATTCATCCCGATCCACCGACTTGCCACCACCGGCCCCCGCCTCCCAGCCGCAGGCGCAGGACAACCCTCCGGCGAAGAAGCCCGCGCCCAAGGTCAAGCGTGTCCAGAGCGCGGGCCTCCTCGCGGACTCCGTGCTCAAGCGCGACGTTAACACGGCCCGGCTCAAGGACCTCTACACAATTGGCAAGAAGTTAGGGCAGGGTCAATTCGGCACCACCTACCTATGCGTCGAGAAGGCCACCGGCCGGGAGTTCGCCTGCAAGTCCATTGCCAAACGGAAGCTGCTCACGGAGGAGGATGTCGACGACGTGCGCCGCGAGATCCAGATCATGCACCACCTCGCGGGTCATGCAAACGTCGTCTCCATCATCGGCGCCTACGAGGACGCCGTCGCCGTGCAGCTTGTCATGGAGCTCTGCGCCGGTGGCGAACTTTTCGACAGGATCATCCAGAGGGGGCACTATTCCGAGAAGGCGGCCGCGCAGCTGGCCAGGGTGATAGTCGGCGTCGTCGAGGCGTGCCACTCGCTCGGCGTGATGCACAGGGATCTTAAGCCGGAGAATTTCTTGTTTATCAATCAAAAGGAGGACTCGCCCCTGAAGACCATCGATTTTGGCCTGTCCATCTTCTTCAAGCCAGGTATATATGGCATCGATTCCTTGTATAGCAATGCAGCTTTATCTGATTGTGAAGTTATTTTAGTATAGTATATAATGTGAGCCTGTCAGTGGAGCTAATACTTAGTTAGCAACTGAGGTGCCAATTGCCAAACACTTGTTACAGAATGGGGGAATTTTCGTATGTAGGGATATCACTGCTGTCGTCGTGCATGCAAGAGGCCACCATGTGGTCATAACAAAATGTAGATTGACAATTGATACATGCATAGTTTTGTGTGTGTATGTACTTCACACAATGGTTACGTCACTTTTACCAATCACCATGCTGTGAGATCACTTATGCTGCTGAACTACATTGAGCAAGTAGTCAGCACTGGTTTTATTTTTTCTTCAATCTCGTTATAATATCACTACAATTTGCAGTTGATGAGCATCACCCCAAAACTTATGAAGTTCCTAATAAGGTTTGCTTGTGTTCTTATCTTCAATCCCATTTAGCCACATTCTCATGGCTTAGAAAGTTAGCAGACCCATTTTACACATTGATTTACAGTAGGTGATTTAACACCAGGCTTCTATGCTCAGCAAAAAATCCTACATATAAAAAAATAGCAGCAGGGTGCTGCGAGTGACTGAGATTTCCGAACCAGGAGCCGCCCGGCAGAAAAAAAGAATGGCCCGACCACTGTCGGGGACCTAATACCGGGATACCCGATGAGGTGGAGCTACGCTTCCGGTCAGACAAAAACGCTACTACACTTCTTGCCCGAACGACGGAAGATTGGTTCCGCCTCGCCTCGACCCCCGAGGGCTAGACTCGCGCCTCGACGGCAGAGGGTCGGCTCTCCGCCGCGCCCGGACGATCGCGTCCCGCTCCTTCATGATGACGAGCACGAGGAAGACAGGGACATTCGAGTCAACCGTAGTACCGAGGACCATACCCCCGCATGCTCGCAGCAGAAAGTACCGTCGAGATACGACGGATTCGGCGCGTTAAGCCCTTCCGTGCATGGCGAGCCCGAAACGATCTTGTAGGCGCCCGACTTTGGTCTTACAAAGTGTTGTGGGCGCCGCCATCAGCCCCTGGACGCAGAGATCCCGACACAAGCATACGACAACCACTACAATCCAAGGAGAACTCACATCATCTACAAAGTGATTTTGACGATGGTCACTTCCCCGCCTACTCCCCGTAGGGTCACAACTGGCTCTCGCACGCCGCACCGTCCGTCGGTGTAGGATGGGACGACCCACTTGTTGGATGAGGCTGTGGCACGGCCCTATAAGGATCAGCGAACACGCCATCCCGACGACACGGTCGCCATGTCGGCAGGGGCGCACAGGGGGAAAGGAAGACACGGCTCATTCGAAGGACCTTCTCTACCTTTGGTTTTTTCCTATTTCTCCATCTGCAATCCCTGCTCCCCCTTGGTCTATAAAAGAGCGAGGGGGGGCAGGGCACCCCACTAAGGGGACAGATCGATTCCACACACAACACACACCCAAGCAGCAACCGAGCTCTTGCCATCCTTCGACCTTTCCATCGAGACTTGGGATATGTCCCTCTCGATCGCTTGTACCCCTACTACGAACCTTTTTCGGTACTAATAACACGAAAGCAAAGAAAGAATCGGACGTAGGGACATTCTGCCTCAACCAAGATAAACCTTGTGTCCTTTAGTACACCATCCGAGCCTAACGCGCAACAAATATAAATTTACTAGTTGGTGTTTGTTCAAACACCGACAACCACCACCCCCAACCCTAGTTGGCGGCGCCACCATCCTCACCACCGCACCCGGCGCGGTGGCCTTCCCTTCCGCCGCCACCGGGCGCCGCCTCCCCTCCCTTCTCATCCCCCACCCCCTCCTCCCCCACCGTCGGGAGCCACCATTTCCACGCCATGCTCCCCATCCTCGACAGCGCCGGCACCGACGCGAGCCGTCCCGGCCACGGTGGCCTCGGCCATGAAGGTCGTCTCCACCCCTCCTCCCTCCCCCCCGCCCGCCCCTGGCTGAGGCGGCCTCCGGCGTGGTTCCAGATGGGGCCTAGCGTCGCCGCCGCCACCATGTGGCCTCCCACCTCGTGGAAGCCGGGTGATGGGCGCGCCATCGCCAAGAGACCGAGGAGGCAGCCGATTCTCGGGCGGCCGGATCCATGGCCGGCAGCGATGGAGAGGCCATCGCGCGGCAGCAGCCACTGCCGCCGCCACGGCACATGACGGCGCCGGAGGAGAAGGTGTCGGCGGAAGTCGGTCATGAGAAGCGGCGCCATGGGCGGCCCCGGTCCGAGCTTCGTCGCCTCCCGTCGTCGCTTGATCCGGCACACATGTCGCCAGCGTTAAGCGCGCCATATATGCGTAGCCACCGCCACCCATGTCACCAGCCTTCGAGGCTGTGTCGGCGGAGAAGCCCCGCATAGCCAGCGACGACCGGGCTCACATCATGTTTCGCCACCAAATGTGGGCGCGGGGCCTCATGCCACGGGCCGGGCAGCGGGCGCTCTGCTGAGGCGGCCTCGGGGCGTGGCTCCCGCGGCAGCGCTGCCCTCCGCTGCCTCCGACCTCGACGCCTTCCTCGTTCACCCGTCCGCCTCCGCCTTGAGCCCATCGTCCACCCTATCCCCCAAGTTGCCCCCTTCCATCCTGGGAGTAGCGCGGCGGGACGCTCCAAGGCCCATCGTTGGCTAGACGATGACCTCCTCGATGACTCCGATGCGGAAGAGGTGCAGACCACCTCCATGACCCCCTACCTAGACGCGGTTCGTTAGGAGCCGCAGCCGCCGAGGACGTCGACGCTGCCTGTGATGTCCCTGTCGCGCACTCAACCTTTGATGTCGGCCCGTGGCGGTGCGGCGGCGGGTCGCCAGGATGCTAGGCGAAGGCGGGGGAAACACAGTCGGCCGCGCCCACAACTGTTGTATGGCATGCCGGCTCGGCCAGTAGAGGGCCGCATCCCGGCACGCCAGCGCCTCGGGCGCCGTGGACGGGTCTCCGCCCCCAACACCGATGGGTGGCGGGAGATCCTCCACCGGCAGGAGACGCGACCAGCGACCGCCTCGGCTGAGCCACGAGGGCCAGCAAGCGGAGGCCAGCCGGCGAGTCGTCGACCACCGAGACACATCCCGGTAGATCTTCTCGGCAAATGCCTCAATTGCCTCTCCTCCGCGCATCGGGTGGCAACCTGCAAGCTTCCCCAACGATGTTTACGGTGCAAGGGATTTCGACACATTGTGCGCCACTGCAAGCAGCCAAGGCGCTTGGGCTCTCGGAGCTTGGGCGATGCAAGAGCCATGGGTCGCCAGCCGCAGCACCTCGCCTGCTCCGCTGGGCCGGCGGACCATGGTGGCTCGCAAGACTTAGATAGGGGCAAGTCGGCCAATGCTGTTCCTGCCACCGGTGGTCGCCGGCGCCGAAGGCGGAGGTGTCACGGGCGGTCGGCAGGGGCTGCACAGACAGCTCCGGCCTTCACCTCGGTTGCTGCTGAAGCTCAGTCTGGGCATGTCGAGCTGTCCAGCGAGACGGGCAGTGTCCAGCCTGACCCGTTGACGCTGATACTGTACCCGGACGCCACGCATGGTCGTGACATCACGGAGGACCCGATGCTGGAGGAATTCGCAGCCTCGCTCGCCAGCAGTCGGATCATCGCGTGGCCTTCTCTTGAGCGCCAGTTGTCACCTCCGGTGGCCCCTCAACTACAAGATGAGGCCCCGGCAGTGACGGCACCCCAGCTGGAGGATGAGGACCCGGCGGCTATGGGCTCCTGTGCGTTGTGTATACCACCTCCGCACCCCATTCACTGGGCCGTGGACTCACCGAACCTCATGGTGGACGCTGGCCCTCCCAGTTCACCGCCGGTGGATACCCACCCGACCGAGGACAACGATGACTCCGCCAAACGCCGCCTCGATAGCTTCATCAACGAAGTGACACGTAAGAGGGACTCTCCACTAATTCGTGAGCCTCCAAAGCAGCCTCCTGCTAAGCCGGTGATGCTGCAAGGCGAGCGGGCAGTGGTTGGCGGCTCAAATTTCTCTCTCGAGTACCTGCTTCCAAGCGAGGTGAGGTGCTGATCATGGAGCGTATGGGCTTCACCAAGGATCCATCAACGCCATCCGCGTCGGAGCTGGCGGCCTATGACAAACTCTTCGGCGGTGACCTGACTGTCCGAAGCCGAAGCGCTGGACGAGCTCTTCCCGGCTGTTCGGTCCAGGCAGCCGCGAGGACGCAAGTCCACCTCCTAGGTCGCACCGTTATGTCGGTATTGGTTGTTTCCTTGAATGTAATATCAAATCTAGAGGTCTCTTGCTAGGATGGTCCAGCTACGGCTGTGTTAGATTGACCTCCTTCGGCGCTCGATACAAGCGCGTTGTATGTTTGTCTAAACTCTTCTACTTAATCAATGATACGCAAAGCTTTTGCGTATTCGAGAAAAAAAATAGCAGCAGATTATGTCTATTTTTTAAAGGAAATATGAGGCGGTGGAAACCAATCGTATGAATGTTATCGCATTCTTTTTACCACATGCAGTCCTAATTCATAAATAGCATTCTTCTGATGCCATTTGGACTAAGATAATTGTTTGTGCAGGCGAGATGTTTACAGATGTCGTTGGAAGCCCATACTATGTTGCACCTGAGGTTCTGCTAAAATACTATGGCCGTGAGGTTGATGTCTGGAGTGCTGGTGTCATAATCTATATCCTGTTGAGTGGAGTCCCTCCATTCTGGGATGGTGAGGTTATATGTAGCCATTTCAGTGAAATATTGCATTGCAATTTTATATGACATTGACAGTTGGCATTAAATTGAGTTTTCTATTGGTTTCTGGGGCAGAAAGTGAACAAGGGATATTTGAACAAGTTTTGAAAGGTGACTTGGACTTTTCGTCAGAGCCCTGGCCTAGCATCTCAGAGAGTGCAAAGGATTTGGTCAGGAAAATGCTTATTCGTGATCCAAAGAAGAGATTGACTGCCCATGAAGCCTTATGTGAGTAGCATGAATGCATGTACCAATATCAATTCAATAAATAATTCTTTCCTAGTTTATTTAGCCTCATCTCAACCAAATTGGCTATAGTGATTGACCTGGGTTTTCATAGGTCACCCTTGGGTTTGTATTGATGGAGTTGCTCCTGACAAGCCTCTTGATTCCGCTGTTCTAAGCCGGCTGAAACAATTTTCTGCAATGAATAAACTAAAGAAAATGGCCCTTAGGGTGAGTACTAATACCAATGGTCTATCTCTGCATTATACCGATGCTATTTGTGGTTCATCTTCTTTGTGCTTGTAGGTTATTGCTGAGAGTTTATCTGAGGAAGAAATTGCAGGATTAAAAGAAATGTTCAAAATGCTTGACACTGACAACAGTGGTCATATCACAATGGAGGAACTAAAACTGGCTTGCAGAGAGTTGGTGCTAATTTAATGGACTCAGAAATCAATGCTCTAATGGAAGCAGTAAGTATTCCAAGATGATCACCCCACATCGGTTCCCATTCATTACAGTTTTTTGAACTTTAGTCGGCAGACCACTTTATTTCACTAATTCTCATTTACAAAATAAACCATGAACGAATGTTAATAATAAGTTCAAGAATAAGATCATTAATTTTTTTTCTAACCTTGCATACTTTTGAACATCCAATTAGCTTCAACATTGTCTCATGTTTTGATGAACAAATAAAATACCACATTATAAGGAAAGCTTAACCGTGTTACCAAGTATACAAGATTTATTTTGGGAAGTCTATCGAAACAGTAGTGATACTTCAATTTTCTGATGGTGATCATCATTCCACTTTATGGACTGCAACTCAGTTGAAGTACATTTCATAAAAATATCAGGCGGATATCGACAATAGTGGCACAATTGATTATGGGGAATTCATTGCTGCAACTTTGCATATAAACAAAGTTGAAAAGGAGGATAAGCTCTTTGCTGCTTTCTCATACTTTGACAAAGATGGCAGTGGTTACATAACTCAAGATGAGCTCCAAAAGGCATGTGAGGAGTTTGGTATAGGGGATACCCGACTTGAGGATATTATTGGGGACATCGATCAGGACAATGTAAGTAGACCAGATTTACTATTCCAATTAAGATTGGTAAAATCAATCTGTCTAATTCATCCATCATATATTTTGCAGGATGGCCGGATCGACTACAATGAGTTTGTTGCAATGATGCAGAAGGGAGATAATCCTCTGGGAAGAAAGGGACATCAAAGTAATGCTAATTTTGGTCTTGGAGACGCACTTAAGCTTCAGTAAAATAGGTAATAGATGCTTGTTTTCCCTAGTTTACCTTTTTTTTATGGATAACGTTGCATCATTAAGGTATCTGATTGATTATTGCTCTTCCTGTTAGTTTGTTCTACTTACTGTTTGTATTGTTTTACAGGAGCAGATGTTTCCCTTCATAGCAAAGTTAGCATTCAGCAACTAAGAAATCCGGGGTCGCTGAAGCAACCTAGGACTAGGAGCGTGAACTTTTGCCGGAAAGCAGCAACCTCACCAAATTAACAATAGGGTCCTCATGCTCAACATGGCATCTTTTGATTTCCCTCCTTTCTAGTTCATATGTAGTGGCAATGAAACCTTCTTCAGCCCATCGCGTATCTGCGTTGTAATTTAAGTAAGAATGAGAGTAGGTGGGATTGCTTTCTTCTACCCCTTTATTCTTCCATTGGGAATCAACGGCAGGAAGAGAGCGAACCATCCTGCATCTGCATTCCAAGACTAATGTTTCAATTATGCTCATCCATGTTCGATAGGTGTAGTTCTTAGTGCCTGTAAGAATATAAGATTGTATTGTAGGAGCCTGACCAACGAAACAATTCTTCTGTGTTGATTTTCCCTTGTTACCAAAACGTGATGAATGATTACTGAGGCCGCTTTGTTTCCCATGTCTATGTGGTTTTATGCTTGTAGTTTGTGCCGTGGCCTGGTTCGCCGCGTCGCCTAGATACTGGAGAATGATTGATTCCTGAAAATGACAACCAAGCTCCTGCACTCGCACCTGGTGATGCTAAATGATTAAATCATCCTGAGGTATCATTTTTGTGGGGGAAAATCGCCGTGAGGTTAGAATCAAAATCTGAGGAAAAATAAATATGAAAAAAAGATATTCGGAAAAATCGCCGTGAGGTTAGAATCAAAATTTGAGGAAAAATAAAATTTAAAAAAAAAAGAATCAAAATTTGAGGAAAAATTAATGTGAAAAAAAATATCCCAATAAGGGCCCAACCGGGTTCGAACCGGTGACCTATTGATCTGCAGTCAATTGCTCTACCACTGAGCTATGGACCCTTTGTTGATGGTGCACAAATGAGAGAAATTAATATATGATACAATACAGAGTGGATTGCATAGTGACATGCATCGGATGGCCGGATGCTAGTTGCTAGCCCCTCGGACGCCTGATGCGAGACGTGAGTAGTGCTCCGCCAATCACCGACGCCGTGCCTTGGTCACAGGAGCCCCACCGGGTGGCCAATATAAACGCGGGCCCCGCACCTCGGTGGGGAACCCGTGCGCACGCGGCACGCCTCTCAATTTTGGCAAACTCCCTGCAATAGCATGACTAGATAAGGCGGGCCCACCGTTGGCCAGCCCCACCTGTCATTGGTTCAAGGGGAGGTGAGGGAGCGGCGGCGGAGGAATTGTTTAATCCCCCGTCACCGTCTCCTCTCGCCATCACCCACCCCCCCTGTTCCAGGCGCGAGCGCGACGTTGCCGGCTCGTCTCCGGCGTTCGGCGGCGGAGTGGAACGATCCCCGATTCCCACCAGGAACTCCATCGTTTTCGTGGCGTTTGGTGGCGTCCCGGGCGGGCAAGCAGGACCAGGTACCCTCCCGGATCCTCCCAACCGTTCCGTTTCCCCCGGCCGGGCCGCCTCAATTCTGCGGCGTTGGTTGCCATTTCGGGCCAAATTTGTTGCGTGAAGCGGGGGATTTTGAATGGCACGCGTTCTTTCCAATCGACGCGCCTCTTGGCTTTGCCTTGGCTGTAGGAAATTTCACCGAGGATACACGTGTGCGGGACGAGAGCTAAGCGAAGGAACCTGTTTGGGTACCCACTCGCGGCGGAGATGGACGAGAAGGCGAAGATGGAGAGCAAGCTGTCCTCGGCGGCGGCGTTCGTGGAGGGGGGCGTGCAGGACGCCTGCGACGACGCCTGCAGCATCTGCCTCGACGCCTTCTGCGACAGCAACCCCTCCACGGTCCGCACATCCGCCGCCGCCGCCAAATACTTTGGTTGCTTGTCAGTTCTGACCGATGCGCTTATCGGGCCTTTCATGTTCGTTGGTGCTGCTGTGTTCTTTGCAGATGACCAATTGCAGGCATGACTACCATCTCCAGTGCATTCTTGAATGGTAACGTCTCTTGATGCGTTATTCTTTTCTCCAAGAACATCTATGCCTTACCTTTTTGCCTGCAAATTATAGACCTTATGCAGTTTTGCCTGTTCTAGTTTACAACTGCATATTCTGCATTCTCTTGATCAACCTTCAGTGCATTGAGTTGTCTTGTATATTGCATAAATTATGACACCAATCCCTGTGTTACAGCATTTCATTCATGCTCATAGCCTTAGTTAACACCAAAGACCAAACCAAACAACTTCTCTTCAGCTTTGAATTTATGAAGTAAAATGGCGCTCGTCTAATGTTCTCATCTCAGTAATGCTTTTGTGACGCAGTTGATTGCAACTATCTGGATATGGCTTTAGTTTAAATATTTTCAGAATTCTCCTATTTCATGGCGGTATAAGCTAATCACAGCTTAATTCTTGCTCGTAAGGAGCACTAGTCTACCACATGAGATGGAAGTGAATCATATATTCTGTTTGTTTTCATTTGTCTGTAACTGCATTCAACTTGCCTATACAAGTTGGGAACACTGAATGATCGTGCACAACATGCGTGTCTCTCTTGGGTTATGAAAACACATTGCGGAACATATGATTCACGTCATTGCATTATTTCATCTGTTTTGTTCTTCTAGATGGTGTACTCCTGGAGCAATTCTTATTAATAACTTAGAAGTAGTTGACTGAACAACTGTTCTGCTGGAAGTCTTTCTGTAGTTCTTATTACTAACTTGAGTTTGTGTCATGCGTGTCAGAATCTTAGTTTTGTTGGAGAAGTTCGTAGCATGAATATTCGTCTATAGTGAGCTCATGAAGCTAATGCCTGGCGACAGGAATTTTTTAATGGCTTGTTATGGTGTCACAGATTTATTGGGATTTGTAGTTTTCATGAAAAATAAAGTGGAGCTAAATTGAGTGTGTGGTTTCTGATACTGGAGTAAGACAGAAAGTAACAACATTCTGTGGTCAATCAACAATGCAAGAAAAAATAATACATGTAACAATCTGTGCTGCATGCATGGAAAGAAAAACCAATTAAACATCTACTGAAACTACTACTCCCTCTATTCCAAATTTTAAGTTGTTTTAGTATTTTCCTAAGTCAAAGTTGCCTAACTTTGACCAAGTTTGTAGAAAAATATATTAACATATACAATATCAAATAAATGCACCGTCAAAATATATTTCATGGTGTATCTAACGTATCTTGCATGATGTCGTAGATGTTTGTGCGTTTTTCTATAAACTTGGTTAAGGCTAGAGAAGTTTGACTTAAAACAAAGCTAAAAACGACTTACAATTTGGAACGGAGGAAGTACTTTTTGTTCACCATGTTTACAGTTCCCATTTCATGTGCTTTTCAATATATATTCTAATTCATGTAGTAATTTAGGTGCCAGAGAAGCTCCCAATGCCCCATGTGTTGGCAGCCTATCAGCATGAAAGATCCTATGAGGTGAAAATTGCAACCTTTATTCTGTCTTAACTCCTAAGGGACTGAATTGCTGGTTCTCACTTATTCTTGTGATGTTCTGCAGCCAAGAGCTATTAGAGGCTGTTGAACAAGAGAGGAACATCCGAGCTAATCGTTCACATAATACTGCTGTTTTCCACCATCCAATGCTGGGTGATTTTGAGGTGGGGGCATGTTTCTTCATGCATGTTTGGGGAACTTTTCCAATAGCATTCACCTTTCTGCTATGAATGTACTTTTAACACACGTACTTCTGTTAATATCACCATTTGTATTTCCAGATTCCTGTAGGTGCAGATGATGCAGAACTTGAAGAACGCATTATTCAGCACTTGGCTGCTGCAGCTGCAGTGCGTAGGTCACACCGTCATCATAGAAGAGATAGTCACCAGGGAAGATCAGGAGCAAGTAGCCACCCACAATTCCTGGTGCTTTCAGCAGAGGAGCACACAACCTCAGGTCAAGAAGGGGATTATGAACAAGCCCCTGCTGTAGTTTCTGGTCGCCCTTTACGTACTCTTGTTGAACAAGAACGCACTCGAGGGTTAGTGGATGCATCCAGTCCATCTCTCCGCTTTTCTACTCCTGCTGATGGTACTGGTAGATCAAACAAAAGGTACTTCCTACATCCTATGTGTGATACTATGCTTGTGCACTTCTCTTCAGTATCATTGAATGCATGTGCTTAGTTTTTACTATTATCTGTCAGGATTTCTGGGATTCAGTCTACACCTGTGGATCAAGATGGAGCAGGACCGTCCGATTTACAATCAATCTCTGACAATTTGAGATCTCGTCTGCAGTCAGCTTCAATGAGGTACTCTCCTAACCCAACGCATTAGAACTCCTGACAAATTGAGCACGGACAGGTGTCTTACCTGTGGGCATTTCTTGACAATTGCAGGTACAAGGATTCCATAACCAAGAGTGCAAGTGGATGGAGGGAGAGGTGGTTTTCTCGGAGTAACTCTTTATCAGATCTTGGTTCTGAGGTAAAGAGGGAGGTCAACGCGGGGATTGCTGCGGTGTCTCGCATGATGGAACGGCATGATACAAGAGACGGCACGGGGCCTTCTGCCACCTCCGCGTCAGGATCTGGTTCTCAGTGAAACACTCCTTCGTCCTTGAAAGGACGATGCAACTGTAAAGAGAAGGTATAATGTGCTCATGTTGTGCAAATGAAAACCTGAAATTCAGTGTTTCGTTACGTTTTTCTGTTGACAAACCTACGGATTTGAGTTTTTCTGTAATTGTCTGGAGGCAATTCCAGGGCTCCTATGTAGACTAGTCTTATAACCTTGTCGCAGAAATGATGCAGTAGTTTCTCTGACTGCTGCTGCTAAATAGGAATTTGGCTTTGCTTCAGGTCCAAAGGGACAGAGTTGAGAGCACCTGAGATCCGGCGATGCTTCATGGCACCTGATAGCCCCCCTGCTTCAGACTCCCAGAACTTTGCTGGAGCCTGGAGCTCGTGTCCAGGTCAGGGGAAAGGAATACATGTGCTTCCAATGGAACATTCAGACGTTTAGTACCTTGTGTAACATCTGCAAGGGTGGGTAATGCTAAGGCCTCTGGTGTCTGTGAACAGTGACAGTATGAGTGTTGTGTTGGTTGTGTGGTTCCAGTTTATAACACCCATACATACAATACAAGTATTACTACCGTGCCAAGGCCCTAATGGATCGTTTGTCATGTTATTATTATATTGCAGCTGGGGGCATTCGATTTGGTTGCCCGATGCGTGCCGTCCCTCTGATTCGCCTGTCTGTTAGCGACTGCACAGCTCGTACACGGTAACTCCAGGCTCTTGTGGCTGTTCCCGGAGGCCGGAGGGCAGGGTAGCCGAGTTCAGTAGGTCTAGATCAGTTTGTTTGGCCAAAGGAATAGAGGAGTTTTCTTCCCAAGCCACCACACCACCCCAGTATCCAGGAGGAATGAAAATTTTGTCGTGGTCTCATCGGAGTGGGAGTTAGAAAATGCAAGGCTTGGATCAAGGGGAGCTTTGACGGCACGAAGACAACACGGCCTTCACGTGGCCAGCCCATCCCAATTCCTCCAACTCCAAGTAGAAGAGCAGGAAATAAACTGATGCACGTGCATACGCCACAGGCGAGGCGATCGATATGATTTCTCTTATGAGCGTACGGATCGAGCCAGCACACAGGTGACAGAACCAGCAGTCGCTCAATCATCAAGAGGGGGGAAAAGAAAGAAAGAGAGCAGCTGAGCAAGCGGTCGGTCTACGCAAAAAAAAAAAAAAAAAAAAAAAAAAAAAAAACACAGATCATCAAGGAGTCGACGGAGCACCAACTAACCAAAGCCTCTGCGTATTGCTTAAACAAACATCAGCATCAGCACTCGCTCGCTCAGGTTAGCAGTTAATAGCTTGACGGCCACGAGGACAAAGGTGCGCGGACACGGTTGCGGTTGGCTTGCTGACTCGCCGTCTCGCCTGCCGGGGCCGCCCTCGCATCGCATCGTATCCCAAGTCCCCGCCCCGGCGCCCCCAGCCCCCAGACGTGGACGGAGGTGGTACCCCGAAGCCACCGACACCGACCGACGCTTTCCCCGTCGTCCCGTGCCGCGAGATGCCAACGGTGGCAGATCGACACGACTCCCTGCCCGCAACGAAACGACCCGGCGTCTTCCTGGGGGCCGGGGCTCTCTCCTGTTCGCTTGCCTTGCCCGCGCCGTGTATCCGAGATCAGAATCGGACCGGCCCGCACTGTTCTAGTACTAGTACACGTACTTTTTTCTCGTGTCTGCGGTCTGCGGCGGAGGGAGGACCAGAAACGTGGCGTCGCCTGCGTTTCGTTTGGTGGTGTGACCAGCTATTCCCCGCCAGTTGCTTCTGTACTAGCTAGCACGAGCACCACGGCTGCACAGCTGCGCAAGGCTTTGGCTTGGCTTCGAAGGGCGCCGCATATGCAAAGGACGCGCGAGGCACTTGGTGTTTGGTGAGTCTGAAGTCTGAAAAGGCATGTGAACGAACGGAGCTTACTCCAGCGTGCGCGGTCCATCAAAACTATCAAAAGTAACCAGACGAGGCGCGCGCCCAAAGTATACAAGACACACCTTAGCTGGCGCTGTGGCACATCATAAGAATTCGAGCAGTAAACTGTGAGATGGAAAGGCACGTCGCACTGGAATTCGGAAGGCAGCAGGGAGTGAAGAATCCGACGGGTGGATGGTAGCTTAGCGTGGAGACTAACCCACGTCAAGCGACCGTACCGGCCGGCGACGCCTCAGGCCAGCCAAACCATCCGGAAAGGTGACACCTCAGCCCATATTTAGTTCGTGAAAAGTTTTCCCAAAAAGTACTATAGTATCCAACCCATCGAATCTTGCGATACGTGCATGGAGCATTAAATGTAGACGAAAAAAAACTAATTGCATAGTTTAGTTGGAAATTACGAGACGAACGTTTTGAGCTTAATTAGTCTATGATTGAACGCTAATTGCCAAATAAAAACGAAAGTGCTACAGTAGCCCAAATTTCCAAACTTCGCGAACTAAACACGCCCTCACTTAATTTACCCTGCACTCACACTCTCCCTCTTAATTCTCCCTATACTATGATAATAAGTCAATAAGGGGTATTTGGTTCCACGTCCTAAACTTAAACTTTAGGCGCTGGCTCATCGGATATTTGACACATGCATGGAGTATTAAATATATACTAATTACGAAACTAAATACACAGATTGAGACTACTTTGCGAGACGAATTTATTAACTCTAATTAGTCTATGATTTGATAATGTGGGACTACAGTAAATATGTGCTAATGATGGATTAATTAGGCTTAATAAATTCGTCCCCCGAATTACTGACGGATTCTGTAATTTGTTTTTTTATTAGTATCTGAACACCCCATATGACATCCGATGTGACACCTCTTAAACTTTAAGATCTGCATCCAAACACCCCCTGCTCCAACCACCAAAACCGAAAAGAAACCCCTACTAATTGCTCGATGTAATGTAACACCTGTTTACACGGTTAAGCAATGATTCTGTGCAGGCATTTGCCGATGCCGTGTATTAGCATCATTTTCCCCTCTTCGAGATCGAATCTGTCACACCTTGTTCGCTTGATCGTATCAGTCATACTTATCAGTTATAATACAGTGTTTTTCTCTCACAACAAAATAGTATCAACTTATAAGCCACATAAATCATCAAGCGGACAGGGTGATCAGCTCGTACGGTACTGTCCTGCGAGTTCCTTTTGGATGCAGTGCAGTGCAGCACCCAAACCAACTGATGACCTATCAATCCATCGCCGTTTTGGGCTGCGCAGAACCGGCGATCCTTACGTACAATCGGCGATGGCGACCGGCCAACGGAGCCCTCATTAAGCCACGTTTAGCGCAGTATCGCCAAAGCTAATGTCGTTGCTGCGTTGTGCATGCCGTGCTGCAACGCCGAAAAACGTGGTGGTCTGCTCTGCTAATGCCACACACCGTACAGCCCACTTCCTGTAGGAAAATAAAACTATTGTACATCTTGAGCAAGGCAAAAAGAAAATGGTTTCGCCAGACGATGGATCGGACGACGATATCGTTGAAAAATCACAAGCTGTAGGTTTATGTTAGACCGTGGATCAGCCACCGATCATTGGCCTAGCTAGCTTAGCCTAGTAATCATGGAGGGGCAATGGGGCATTAGTTATATATATATAGGTGGATTGACTTTCTCCGAGGGACGTTTAACTACTCAAATGCATGATATATCTAATCTTCTATTCTCCTTCTCCGCATCTGACGCACGAGAAAGTAAGGAGACCACACAGAGCTTGTATGTGTGCTGCATCTGCAATTCCACATGCAATAAAACAACACCCATAGTGCCAGACAGGCAGCTCATTGCTCTGCATCTTTGGCCTTAGCTTGCTCCTCAGTCCTCAGCCTTCATTGACTTGTTGGTATCGCAACTTGCAGGTAAACGAGGGCAAGTAGTAGAGAGACCAGTGGTTAGGGCGTCTTAATTACCCCGTGGCGAAATGCACATGCCGCAGCAAAAAGCTCTTTTAGTCTTGTTTGACCTCAACAATAAAAGAAGATGATAACATGCTCTAGCATGGAAAAGAAGCTCGTCCCTCCTTGATCCGGGCTCTGCTGGCAACCTGCACCTACCGAGACCCATTTGTTTTTTCACGAGAGGAATCGGAACGCACTCGATCACTTACTGGCTTGAGCTACTTTTCCATATTTTTCTCTCACAGTATTTCAGAATAAGCATCAGCACCGACGGAGGAGTGGAGGACGGACAGGCCAGGCCACGGCCAGGGTATAGCAAAGCAAGCAAACCGAGTCCGTTTTACTTGGAGACATGCCATGCAACGTATTTTAGCCCCCCTGCAGCTAGAATCATTCATACTGTCACGTAATCTGGCGGTTAAATACGGACATGTCACACGTACAAGCTGCGAATAAACTTTTGACCGCAGGCTTTTCAGACCAAAATCTCGTACGCCGATCGAAACGACCAATGCACACAGGAATCCGTGTCGACCGTAGAATGCCCCCCAATCCGCAAGGGGCTCAAAAAGCTTGGCGGGCACCGTGAAAAGCGCCCGAAACCGGCATAAATGCTCGCGCGCGGAGGCGAAAACCGCGGACATCCGCGGCGTCGCCGCGCTCGCCCGCCCGCTGCCTGCCGCCGTCTGGGGCCCTCGGTCTCGGCTACCTGGATGCCTCGTCGCCCGCAGCGAGACACGGACGAACACGGGCATGGCCCGGCCCCGACGGCCCGACCTCACCATTGCGTCCCAAACAGCCTCCTGATTCGCGAGCCTCCAAACAGCCTTCTCCTAAGCTGGTACTACCGTAGCGGAGGAGACGGTTGGCGGCTCAAGCCTCTTCCGATAGCTAGCTTCCAAGCAAGATGAGATATTGATTATGCAGCATATAAGCTACACCAGGGATCCATCTGCGTGATTCGCTTCGGAGTTGAAGGTCTTTGACAGGCTCTTTGACGGTAACCTGACTGTGTCCGAAGCTGAAGCGTTGGACGAGCTCTTCCCGGCCGTTGAAAATGCACCGTCCAGACAGCCACGAAGACGCAAGACCACTCGACTACAAAGCTGTGTCTATATTGGTTGTTTCCTTTTATATAATATCAAAATATGAGGTCTTTTGCTAGGATGGTCTAACTTCGGCTATGTTAGGTCGACCTCCTTCGGCGTTCGATAGAAGGCCGTTCTATGTTTCTTTTATACTCTTCTCCTTAATACAATGATACGTAAATCTTTTCCGTATTCGAGAAAAAAAAGAGTATGTCTGCTACACAACCATGACTGTGTTTAGTTCGTGAAATTTATGAATTTAGTTACTGTAGCACTTTCATTTTTATTTGGCAATTAGTGTTCAATCATGGACTAAGGCTCAAAACGTTCGTCTCGCGATTTCCAACCAAACTGTGCAATTAGTTTTTTTTTCGTCTACATTTAATGCTCCGTACACGCATCGCAATATTCGATGTGATGGTTGCTGTAGTACTTTTTGGGAACTAAACACAGCCCATGTGTTTTATGTGGTTTCAACACATAGTTTTTTTGCATCATAGGATTAAAATCCAACGACCTCCACCCTTTTTCTACCTCTAGCCTCCATAGATCACAAATCACAGTTTTTTCTATGAAAGGACAAATCACAGATCCGCCGCTGCCGCCACCACCGCCACTGCCATGGCCGGCGCGGGCGCGGGGAGGCGTGCCATGCGCGGGCACGGGTGTCATCGTCGCCGCCACCGCCACTGCCATGGCCGGCGCGAGCTCGCCGTTCGCCGTCGCCGATGCTAGCGGTCACCGGTGAAAAATAAGAGAGTGAGAGAGAAAAAAAATCTAAAACAGGTGTATACGAAAAAAAAAAACCCATTGCGTCCCGCCTTTTTCCTGCTTACGCACACGCGAACCTTGTGTGCGCGGCCGCCGCTGCGCACACCGACACTTCCCTCCGGCCCCGCATGCCAGCCTGTGCCCTCGCGCACCCACCACACCGCGTCTGACGTCTCTCGGCTCGGTTGGCTGGCTCTGGCTCTGCTTCCCCCACCTCTCTCCCTCCTCTCTCTCTCTCTTCACTTATAAGCAAGCTTTCTCACACACACCTCACTCTCCTTTCTCTCTCTACATACAAAGTGGAAAAACAGCACGCCCAAAAGAAAGGCTCACACCACACACCTCCATTTAGCTTAGCCTACTACTCCATCCTCTCGCTGTCTTCCCCAGCCAACAAATCGACCTAGCTGGGAACAAGAGAGAGGGCTAGAGCGCAGAGGAGGAGGGCAGCGCAACACGCACCACCGAGCTCCGAGCAGCGGCGGCGGCGGCGGCGGAGGAGGAGGCAGAGCAATCCGGAGGGAGCAGAGGCCGCGCGCGCAGGCATGGGCGCGCCGGTGCACGGCGCCCTTGTCTTGTTCCTCCTGCTCCTGGCGGGGGCGGAGGCGGCGGCCGAGGAGACGGCGCCGCAGGAACCCACATTGCCCGCCGCCGGCTCCGGCTCCGGCGCTGCCGGCTCTGCCGGCGCGGCGGCGGCGGCGGTCGGGGTCAACTCCAACTCCGTGCTGGTGGCGCTGCTGGACTCGCACTACACGGGGCTGGCGGAGCTGGTGGAGAAGGCGCTGCTCCTGCAGACGCTAGAGGACGCCGTCGGGAAGCACAACGTCACCATCTTCGTGCCGTGGAATGAGGCGCTGGAGCGGGACCTCGACCCGGAGTTCAAGCGTTTCCTGCTGGAGCCGCGCAACCTCAAGTCGCTCCAGGTGTTGCTGCTCTACCACGCCCTCCCCTCGCGCCTGCCTTCCGACGCCTGGCCCACGGCCTCACACCCCATGCTCTCCGGCGAGGAGGTCGAGCTCACCGTGGCAGGGACCGGCATGCACGTCGGCCATGCCGCCATCACACGCCTGGACGTCGTGCTCAGGCCCAATGGGGTCATCCACGGCATCGAGCACCTCCTCATCCCGCACTCTGTCCAGGAGGGCTTCAACCACCGCCGCAGCCTCGCCGCGATCTCGGCCGTGCTGCCCACGGGCGCGCCCGAGGTGGACCCCAGGACACACCGCCTCAAGAAGCCCGCGTCGCTGGTTCCCCCCGGCGCGCTCCCCGTGCTCCCGATCTAGGACGCCAGGGCGCCCGGGCCCTCCATCGCGCCCGGGCCCGTGCCCGGGCCGGGCTCTGGGAAGCACCACTTCGACGGGCACAGCCAGGTCAAGGACTTCATCTAGATGCTGCTCCTCTACGGCGGCTACAACGAGCTCGCCGACATCCTCGTCAACCTCACCTCCCTCGCCACCGAGATGGGCTGCCTCGTCTTCGAGGGCTACGTCCTCACCGTGCTCGCCCCCAACGGCGAGGCCATGACGCGCCTCACCACGGACCAGCTCAGCGAGCCGGGGTCGCCGGAGAACATCCTCTACTACCACATGATCCCGGAGTACCAGACCGAGGAGTCCATGTACAACGCCGTGCGCCGCTTCGGCAAGGTGCGCTACGACACGCTGCGGCTGCCGCACAAGGTGGTGGCGCGGGAGGCCGACGGCTCCGTCAAGTTCGGCCAGGGCGAGGGCTCCGCCTACCTCTTCGACCCGGACATCTACACCGACGGTAGGATCTCCGTGCAGGGCATTGACGCCGTGCTGTTCGCGCCGGATGACACCAAGGCCACACAGACCGCCGACCCGAACAGGAAGCCTCCTGCCATCGTCACCAACAAGAAGAAGATCAAGCTCCGGCGAGGTCAGTACCTACCTTCAGATCTGGACCTGGTCCTTTCCGTCCTGCTCGTATCATTACAGATTGCTCAAAAGTAGCCCACCACATTGTCCTTGTTTCAATAATAGCACCGAAATTTACAGCTCGTAATCTAGATTGGGGGAGGTTTGTAGATTAATTTTGCAACTGATTGTTAACATCAATCAACGCGAGCTGATCAGTTAGCGGTCAGAATGTTGTCGGTGAGGGTACCGGTGAGTGTTCCGATCCTAGCGGCCAGGATTAATAATTTATCAGTTGGTGGGTGATGAGTACCGGGTAGTAGAATAAAGACGAAGGCGTTGGCATAAAATAGAAGCAGCAATTAGGGTTCCTTACTATCCAATTGACATGGCCTTATTGGAGGGCGTATGGGACTGTCGGTGCCCGTTTGGACATTTTCTACCATGACTGTCTGTGAACCAACCAATATTACTGTAGTTTCAAAGGTTTTTTATATGATGTGTCACAAATGCTCAACATCTGTACTGGCCAACGTGTGACCACCGTGAAAACATGGATGTGAACTGAAGCAATAGTGATGGTTGAGCATATGTTGGTGGGTAGTTGCCTTCATCATCTGTTTGATGGCTGATGCCGTTCCTGGGACTGCAAGCAACACTACCCTTTAACCCATGACACATGAGCAACAATTTTGCCTTTTTGCAAAGCATGAAAGTCTCATGCCGAAGCCTTGGTCACGTCCTTGTTGTCATAGTTTCGGTGGAATAGTAGCTAAATAAATTAGTTATGCTTAGAGGTAGGGCAAGGCCAAATTGTGTGCCTTGTAGGGGAAAATAGCAATAGTTGGTAGTGTTCAGACTGCAGAAATTGATAACTGAACGAAATCAAAATCTGGCCTGTGTTAGGGAGGGAGAACCTCAAAAACATACATATAATAAGCTGAATTAGACAGCTCAGTTCAATCCAAGCCACTAAACCTCTGTAGGCCTTGGTTAGCATTTATCGTGAAATCAGATGGCTACTCAAGATTGGTAACTTGGGAGCAGGAATATACCAAAACCTTCTAGGAATGAGTCTGAAGGGCAGGGACCTAAAATTCACTGGGCCAGTTCTGCGCTGTTGAAACTGGGAAGATTCTCTTCCAGTAGCCCGTGCGTCATGATCTGGGAGATTGTTTCTCAATGATATTCTAGGATTGCAACATGACAATGCTGATTGCATAATTTGATACGTTTAGTCTGTAGCTTTTTTTGGGTAATCTCCAGTCTCCACCCTGTATTTTCAGTTCCACGTGATTTTGATAGCAGACCCGTCCCACCTTGCATAGATGGTTTTTATTCGTTTCTGCTTGTAGCCTTCGAAGCCAAGTTACCATCGGCCAGGGTCATGCCCCTTAAGCATGAAAAAAAATAGTATATATGTTTTAAAATCTGCAAGTTTTCTTTGGCATAAATATTTATTAGGCATCGGGTGCTGTCCTGCTGATTTGACAGGTTATCTGTTTACAGCATAATCTAGTGTTTATTCTTGCTACTTTCTACCAAAGTATTATTTCTTCTGTTGGGCACCATGTCGGTGTCATTGTTTTCTTAACCATGCAGTTAGTCTCACGCTTTTGTTCCCCAACTAAACACCTTGCAGGCAAATTGTTAGAAGCAACGTGCCAAATGGCTGGGCTCTTCGGTCAGCGATCGCGATTCGCAAGCTGCCAGTAGACGGAGAAAGGATTTGGATCTCCATGATACCGAAAGACGAACGAACTGATGATGGGCTGGCGCTGGAGAGGGAGGAAGCCGTCCACATTATTATTTGTTTTTTTTCTTTTTTGTTTATTATGAGAATAATAATGAATGAATCAGGTTGGGGGATGTAAACTCGGTGGTTGTTGGTGTGTCCAGGAAAAGAAAAGGAGAAAAAGAAAGGCAGAAAAAAATTGTCCATACATGAACAAGCCCAGGGTCGTCGTCTGTGTATAGGAAGGAATTAAAAACGTTTTGTTTTTCTGTTTTTTTTTCATGTCATTCTTTGCTTCTGTTCCCGTTTTGACAATGAGAATATCGGGTAAACACGCAATCATTCTTATTATTATTCATTTTTCCTTCTTTTTTTAATATATATATTTTTCGTGAGGATATTTGTCGCATTCGTCGGGATCAATCTTCGTAAGATTGTGATTGCGAGGCTGTGTGATGTGTGTCTGGGTGTACCTGCGTTGCACTTGCAAGAGTCGAGACAGTGGGGAACAATAAACCAGGGATGCTCCAACTCAGAAGCTGCTGGTGCTATTAATCAAGCAGGCGACAGCTAATGCCAGATGGCTTTGCATGATTGTACACTACGTAACTAGTATCTATGATCAAGGGTCTTAGTGGCGAACAACTAACTCAAGGAAAGGTCTGCTTCCTGCTATACTACCGGTAGCGGTCCGTTTGACAGTGAGAAAAAGCTAGTCCCAAACAACAGGCAGAATGGCAGATTTTAACCTTGCAGTAAGCCGAAGATAGGTGCCGCTCTTCTGGTAGTCAGTAGTCGCGTGGTCCCGACGGGCGACGCACGCTAACGGTAGCATCCAGGTTTAACGGACGCACCACGGGTTTGTGTCCCAGGAACAGCCGGACAGGGAAGTCAGGAACGGATCCTGAACGGCTGAACCCATCGTGCAAGTGGGTGTTGCTGGTGTGGTGGGGGTTTCAGGCTTTGAGAGTACACAAATCGAAGCATGACATGACCGTGCACGTTAATCGCCAACTCCGGCAGTGCCGTGCCGTGAGGCTTGGCGGGCTGAGACTGAGGCCGGAGCGCGATAAATTCGGAGCGGTTTGTTGGGCCGCGTCGGAACTTGGCCCAACCAAACTCAGACGCGACACAAAAGCACAAAAGCATCCACCGCCCACCGCCACGGGAATCCAGCCGGCGGCTACGTCGGGGTGTTGGGCTGCCGGCTGCCGGGTTGGTGGCCGGAGAAGGCGACAGAATCCCGTCAGAGCTCGGCGGACAGGTATCGCGTCGCGTCACCGACGCGCGCGGCATATACTAGTAGTATATAAGGCCATGTTTAGTTCCCCCATTTCCAGAATTTGACACTATATAAAAAGAAGATTTTCCGTCACATTAAACTTGCGGTATATGCATGGAGTACTAAATGTTGACGAAATCAAAAATTAATTACACAGTTTAGTTGTACTCCGCGAGACGAACGTTTTGAGCCTAACTGGTTAACGATTGGACAATTATTACCAAACAAAAACAATAATACTGTAGCTACAGTACACTTCTTTTTTGGGCGGCGCCGAATCGGCTGATGAACTAAACGCGGCCTAAGTATCATATCAGACAGATATGGCACATGTGCACGCGACATGAAACAAAACCGTTTGGAACCAAGCAGTCGAACCGATCCAGGGCCTCCTCTATGGCACATGTACACGTCTCGAGCCGATCGAGCCTGCTTCGACTCATCTCATCAGTCCTATGCTATGAAGTATGAAGCCAGTTACCATTTACCAGTACCGTCTCTACAGCAACTGTACTCACTCAGGTCCAAACTCCAATATCATCTACACGCAGCAGGAGAGGAGAGGCAACTATCATCCCCAACTCAGGCCATCCTGAGTGCCTCCCTGTAGCCGATGCTGAAGCTGTTCTGCAGGCCGGCCTTCTTGGGGAGACCCACCGTCGGCTTCTGCATCATCGCAACGAACTCGTTGTAGTCGATGCGCCCGTCCTGCATTTTTTTTTTGAAAAAAAAAAATCAGCCACGGGTTCAGAACAATTCAGATTCAGAGCTCTGTCAGACAGAGACGGTACGAGGGGACATAAATATATACTGACGTTGTCCTGGTCGACTTCTCCGATCATGTCCTCCAGCTTGACGTCGCCCAGGCCGAACTCCTCGCACGCCACCTGCAGCTCGTCGGCGGTGATGTACCCGCTGCCGTCCTTGTCGAAGTACTGGAACGCCGCGAACAGGTGGTCCTCCCGCTCCACCTTGTTCAGGTGCAGCGTCGCCGCGATGAACTCGCCGTAGTCGATCGTGCCGTTGTTGTCCACGTCCGCCTGCGTGTTGCCCAACCACAACAAAGAGTTAATTTTCCTTTTTTCAGCAGGGAGGGATCTCTGTCTATCTGCCGTGACTTGGAGAATCCAAAGATGAATACTGGATCACTTACGGCTAGCATCAGCGCGTAGATCTCCGATTCCTGGAGGTTGGCGCCAACCTTCTTCAGGCCCACCTTCAGCTCCTCGAACGTGATCTGCCCACTGTTGTCCGCGTCGATCATCTTGAACATCTCTTTCAGCCCGGCGATCTCGTCCTCGGATAGGTTCTCGGCGATCACCTGCAAACAAACAAACATACATATATCAGGACAAAGCCATTCTTCGGCAGGAACAGCATTCAGTTCAACCATTTGGATGGATGGATGGATGCCAGTAAATATTTCCTTTTGTTTTTTGCATGAATCACAGAATCAGTTATGCGTCTTGCATCAGCCAAATGGCCATACAGCAGGTATTGACTGGGCGCATGAGTACAAGCGCAAGACGATGGTAGCTAAGGTCCAACACCAATGCACAAAATAGAGGCGTGTGAAACAACTCTTTCAAGACCAAACGACTTACCCTAAGAGCCATCTTTTTCAGCTTATTCATTGCCGAGAACTGCTTCATACGAGAAAGAACAGCGGAATCCAGCGGCTTATCAGGAGCCAAACCACCAACCTGAACCCACGGATGCCCTGCAACATGATAACAGACAACATGCTTCAGAAATACATCAGCCAGTGGAAGGGATGCACTTGTTCAAAAATGGGAATGCAGGCAGCCATGAACAGGGAAGCAATGTGATTGATGGTAAGTCAGGAACTCACGTAGAACTTCATGAGCGGTTAATCTCTTCTTTGGGTCCCTAATAAGCATTCTCCTCACAAGATCTTTGGCGCCTTCGGAGATGCTGGGCCACGGCTCCGACTCAAAGTCAAGCCTCCCGTGCAAAACCTCCTCAAATATGCCCTGCTCGTTCTCTGGTTGACAAACAAGTGAAGTGAGTGATCAGTACAAGAGATTGGCCAGAAAATTTGCATGAAGCTGTACTGCTGTATCAGTATCATTGGACTACTGAAAAGAGCATAGTATTGCACCTGCCCAAAATGGTGGCACTCCACACAGCAAGATGTAAATGATCACGCCAGCACTCCAAACGTCTGCCTCTGAACCATATTTCTTCTTTAGGACCTCTGGTGCGACGTAGTAAGGGCTACCAACGACGTCGGTGAATATTTGACCTGCACTAAGATGGAATATAAATGTTGAGGGGAATGGAGAATGATTGATATCATCACAAGGATGGAATGCAGAGTTGCAGACAAGTGAAGATATGCAGCTGTATATGTCTCAACTGTTGGTGGCACAAATAAAATCCTTCCAAATAAATTAAGTGACAAGAATCAGATTTTCACCAGAACATCAGCAATAAAAACATAATGTAGTATCACTAACCACATATCGCAGCTAATGAATGACAATATTCTGAATTCTAATTCTGGTGAACATCGAATTGGTAAATTGAATAACAGATGCCATTGTCTCTGTAACTGATAGAAATAGGATCATCAAAACCGCATCATAATTGGTTTGATGAGAAACTGAGAATCATTGCATTGCATCACATACTGTTGATAATGTTGATCAAATGTTGATGGGATCATGTCAAAGGGGGCGAAAAGCATGGTACAATACCATTCGCGTCGACATGTTTTTTGAATGAAAGGTTATGTTCACAACGTGATCGCAGAAACTCACCAGGGCGAAAGAAAATGGAGAGACCAAAGTCAATGGTCTTGAGAGCGGCCTCCTCCTTCTGGTCAGCGAAGAGGAAGTTCTCCGGCTTGAGATCCCGATGCATGACGCCCATGGAGTGGCACACCTCGACGACGCCGACGATGACCCTGGCGAGCTCGGCGGCCTTCCTCTCGGTGTAGTGGCCCTTCTGCACGATCCTGTCGAAGAGCTCGCCGCCGGCGCAGAGCTCCATGACGAGGTGCACGGCGACGGCGTCCTCGTAGGCGCCGCGGATGGAGATGACGTTGGGGTGGCCCGCCAGGTGGTACATTATCTGGATCTCCCGGCGGACGTCCTCGACGTCGTCGTCGGTGACGAGCTTGCGCTTGATGATGGACTTGCACGCGAACTCCTTGCCGGTGGCCCGCTCCACGCACAGGTACGTGGTGCCGAACTGGCCCTGCCCGAGCCGCCGCCCCAGGCTGTACTTGTCCTTGAGGTTCTCCGTCTTGCGCTTGAGCACCGAGCCGACGAGCAGCCCGGCGCTGGACACGCGCTTCACCTGCGGCACCTTGGGACGCGGCCTGGGCGGCGCCTCGGCCGACGAGTTGGGGCTGGGGCTGGCGTTGGCGTTGGCGTTGGCAGGCTTGGCGTCCTGCGTGGCGGCGGCGGCAGCCTTGGACGCCGGCTCCGAGTGGGAGGCGGCGATCTTGACGGGCTCAGGGGCCTTGCTCTGCACGGCGACGTGCACGTCGGACGCTGGCTTCGGCAGCGCCGGAAGCGGCGTCGACTGCGACCGGCCAGGGCTGGCGCCGCCGGGGCCATTGGCGGCGGCGGGCAGCGCGTCGCCGTCCTGCGGCGTCTTCCACAGCACCGTGGAGACGGACTGGAAGAAGCCGTTCTTGGTGATGCTGGGGCCGACGCACGTGTTCCCCATCGCGGCGGGCGGGGAGAACACGAGTCGCCGGAATCTTTATCGGGGCGGGCGCCCAAGCTGACCCCCGCTCGGATCCAAGAAACACAGCTCTCAACTCCTCGAGCTCTGCGCCGGCTCAGATCACGTCGCGGATGTATGGGTGTATGTCTCTTCCAGCATCCGGGAACGGACCTCTTCCGGGCAGGAGATCGGATACCTAGCGCGGAAAACTATGGAAAGCCAAGATCAAAGATGGAAAGAAATGCGCCGATCGCCTCGAGTGCGTGTCGAAGTCAACGCCAGACAAGGCATCCCGGAGCTCGCAATGCAGAAATCAGACGCCTTGGGACAGCAGCTACGCCTGCGCATCAACAATAACCAAGCTTTTGGACCTCGTCGTCCTGCCGGCGCGGCAGGTGAGGTGAAGGAAGAAGTCAAAGGCGAGCACTCACAGATGCTAGAAACCAACGCCCTGATCGTTTTTTTTTTCGTAACCGATAAGCCACGAAAGTATCGGTGTAAGAGAAAAATACCGTTCGTCGACTAACAAGTGCGGTTTATAAGCCAAACAAATCCAAACGAACAGGACCAAATTGCTCAAGACAAAGATAAGGGTTCGAGACTTAGAGAGCCACCTCTATACAGGACCGAGGATTACAAACAGAGGGACAGCAGCTCGACCATTGTCCTATTCGCTTGGTTGATAAGTCATGGCTAAAAATACTGTTAGCTCATTTGTTGTGAGAGAAAAATAAGTACGACTTAGGCCCCGTTCGTGTGCCCTTAAATCCGGCTTGATCTGCTTATTTTTTCATCTGAAACAGTGTTTTTCTCTCACAAATTCCTCCAGCATTCCTCCAAACTATCCAGATTCCTCCAGAATTCAGTCAAACAAACATGGCGCTTGATCATGATAGGCAGCTAGCTCGAAGAAGAAGTGATGAGAGCATGAATAGGGGAAGCGGGGGGCAACAAAAGGGCAGGAGCTGTGGGTGGAAACGCGTGATCCCTCGTTACGTGCCGCGTGAGGGGAAGTATGAATGGACCAAGAAACGAACAAAAAAGAGATCCAGCAGGAGGCGGGGGGGGCCCGACCTGTGGCGGTTTACTGGGCTGCCGTGGATACGCGCAGTTGGGAGTTTGGGACCGAGGGGGCAATGATTGGGTGGCTACTCGTGTCTAGCTGTTGATGAGTTTGACATGGCACGGCGAGGAAGGAGCAGGAGCTAGGAGGAAGAGGGCGCGAAGTGGGGAACGGCGAGGAGGCACGACGCCCGTGTCATTGTTTTTGTCCTGTTGCCCCGGTTCTTCCACTTCCATGATCGCGGAGGGAAAGCGGGGTTGAAATGAAACGAGCACCAGCGAGAGCGCCCTGCGCGTTGGTGGCCGACCGACCGGGTCGCGCCGCTCCGCTGTGCAAAGTCCAAAGCGCGTCGCCGTCCCACCGGGTCCGGGGGCCAATGGGCGTCCGGATCTCCGGCTCTCCCAGACTACCAGCCGCGGCAGGTGGCCAGTAACATCCCAGTTTCAGCTGTGCCGGACAAAAAATTCCAAATCAGGTGCCCGTCCGATTACGGATTAAACATAGGTGCCGAGCGGTAGCTTTCGGGAAGAACCGGTCAAGCACACGGGAACGAAAATATTCTGCTGCGAGGAGGACAACACAGCGTGGCGTGAGCACGCAACAGCTCACGGAAGACACGTAAACAATCAATGCGTACGCATGATTAGTTTGGATAGGGATTCTACGCTACAGTTCTGACCTTGTTGTTGAATGTAATAAACCAAGAACAAAAATAAAACAGTGCATTACACTCCGAGACAAATATACCGGAGGCAGACCACAGAGAAAAGAAATCAAGACGGCATTTGGGGGCAAGAAAACAAAAATTACATCTGGACACATCTTTGTTTGTTCTATTTTACACCCCAAGAGCACAAGCATATTACACACAACATGCAGGCCAGCTCAGACGAGGAAATGAATCGAGTGAGGCAGACTCCACTGGCCTTGAGGATGGGTTTACAAGCCAGCCATGAGATATATATGGTGTTATCGTCCTGCTGCAGGGAAATCTGTATGGCCATAAAACCTCATCGTAGTTAACTTCATTCCCTTGATTATAAACCGAGGCAAGGTTGCTACCAAGCGGTGCAATCCAATCCCAAATGACACCACTGAATGCAGATTCCAACAGAGGGCTCACACTTATCTCTTCTTTGTTGTCCTTTTGACCTTGATCACCCTTCGGTTCGACTTGTCACCGCCACCACCCCCGCTGCCCAACGAAAAATTCCCACCCTGAAACTCTAGACTGCCAGCGGCTGGGAAGGACGGGTTCTGCTGTGCTGAGCCTTGTTGGCCCCCAAACTGAAAAACCCCGGCTGGCTGGACTGCCGGAGCACCAAATACCGGGGCAGCAGGCGAGATATTCTGCTGTCCAAATGATGAAGAACCAAATATTGGCGCCGGCGCAGGTGCCGCCTGACTAATGTCATCTGCCATGCTGTCTTCGTTCATCTGATCATTTCCGGGGGAAGCCACGCCGAAGGCTGTGTTGGTATTAGTCATTCCAAATGTAGGCTGTGGAGACGAGTTCATGCTAGTGTTTGCTGAAGTAAATGAGAAAACTGATGATGGTTGAGATGAGAACGTTGGAGCTGGCTGCGCTCCAAATGCAAAACCGCTGCCTGAAGAAGCTGATTGCCCAAATGTAAATGTGCTGGGTGGGGATGAACTTGAGCCAAAAGGGTTGCTAAAAGCTGAGGCTGAAGAAGCTGTGGAGGTGCTGGCAAACACACTCGTACTGGCTACCGTTGATGCACCAGCAGAAGAGCTAGGTGAAGAAAATGTGAACCCAGTACTTGAGCTAGAGCTAAATGGGTTCGCAAACGTAGCTCCAGTTCCAAATGGTGAATTGCCAAATCCAGCCCCTGATGTGGAAGTTGTTGCTCCAAAAGAGACAGTCCCAGGTCCAGATGAGACTCCTGCTCCAAAAGACACGGTCCCAGGTCCAGATGAGGAGGCTCCTGCTCCAGAGGACACGATCCCAGGTCCAGATGAGGAGGCTCCTGCTCCAAATGACATGGCCCCGAGCCCAGACGAGGTAGCTCCTGATCCAAAAGACACGGCTCCAGGTCCAGATGAGGCAGCTCCAACTCCGAAGGGAACAGTCCCAGATCCTGATGAGGAAGCTCCTGCCCCAAAAGAGAAAACCCCAGGTCCAGATGAGTGAGCTGCTGCCCCAAAAGCTGATGAAGTTCCAGGTGCGGAAGATGAAGCTCCAACACCAAAAGATATGGTCCCTGAACCAGTCGAGGAAGCTCCAAGTCCAAAAGATAAGGTCCCAGATCCAGACGAGGAAGCACCAACTCCAGGAGTCATGGCCGGGAATGGTGAGCCAGATCGTGGTTTTGAACTCTGGGATGGTTGTTGCATTGTTCCCTCTGACTGTGTCGGCTTACTACCAAAGAGTGTGCTAGCAGCTGATGGTTGAGAGGTACTACCAGCAACTGATGGTGTGCTGAGGCCAGTAGATTGGGCTGGCGAGCTGAACCCAAAAAGGCTGTTTCCAGAGCTCGGAAATGAAAATGATGGGGTTGAAGCAGACTGTAAACCTGGTGCAGTGGAAGTACTAGATGGTGCAGCCATAGCTATGCCAGCAGCATCACTTGAGGCTGCAACCGGGGAGAGACTAGGCGTAGATGTGATGGATGAACTTGAAAAGCTTGCAATACTTGATGACACAGGTGAAGTAAAAAGTTTCGATGATGGCTTGCTGGTTGCATCTGGTGCCACAGATTTCACTTCATCTTTTGCACCCCCTATACCAAATGATATGGTGCTAGCTGCCTTATTCTCAGCAGTTGTGCCATCTGATTTAGCTGATGTTGCCACTGACGAGCCAACCGGAGCGCTGGAAGAAAAACTAAATGCTGTAAATGCAGGAGACGATGAAATAGCTGGACTGCTACTGGATACAGCAAATATGGAGGTGGAAGCAGCAGAGCTGATAGCAGGTTTATCAGTAGGTGGAGCAGTTTCGAGCTTTGGTGGCGAGTATGAGAAGCCATTGCTCAGGCTCGAAGTAGATGCCGCAGAAGTAAAATGGAGAGGTGCGTTCAATGTTGTTGATGCAGCTGAGGGCAACACCTTGTCCGATGATTTAGCTACATCTTCTGCTTTTTCTGTTTTATCACCTCTCTCTGGACTAGTGCTGGCTAATGTTGTGAGCTTCGTGACACTGGAAACATAAAAAGCAAAATAGATTAGCAGACTTAAAAACATTGAAAACAACCGGGCTTACATTCCAGGAGGATCAGCTTTAAGACTATATAGATTTTTTAAATGCATCACTTGTATCACTAAGTTAAAAAAAAATTATCTCTCCATTGTCCATCAAGGATCCACATCCAATTACTAACACCAAGTCTAACCAATTTCATGATAAGATAAATACTCAGTCTCACAGTAACACATAAGACATTGCAATTATGGTGCACATTCTTACTACTAATAATGTAAACGGTCCCTGAAACATCAAAAGAAAGACAAGGATATAAGAGAAATCACCTCTGCCCAAGTGTGGATTTGTTTTCTACAGTTGATGTTTCCGAATCTGATGCAATTGACTGCTTGATGCCAAAAATAGAATTTGAAGCGCCAGTCTGTTTATCGTCCTTCACTGAAGCAAGTGGTATTGCTGATACACCAGTTGCAGGACGGGTGCCAGGAGGTGCATTTGAGAATGCAAAACCGGTATTGTTGTCCACAGAAGCATTGGGTACTGCCTTCCCAGGGTCATTAGATAAAAGCAAACCACCAGATGTAGGGACAGTTTTAGACAGTGATGCTACAGGCTGTTCACTAACCGGAGAACCAGCAACGTTCCTCTTTAACTTTGGTTCGACCCTTTGCTCTAATATATTTTGTTCAACCTTCTGTTCTTTTCTATTTGAATCAATTTTTTGCTCAGTTGTTTCAACCTCTATCTTACTTGATGGAATAGGGACCTCCAGATCATCATCCAACTCTGGTGAGTCCTTGAAAACATAACGGTAAGAAAAAGGTGTCAGGTCACAAGTATTGGATACATGACTGCATTACATTTGATAAAAAGAGTACGCATTTCTCATACCTCTATCACAGCCATTTTAAAGCCTGGCGTCAGTGATTTAGAAGCAGAAACTGAGTTCCCCAAAAGGGTAGGTCTATCAGAAAAGGCAGCTTTTGGCGGTACGTCTTTTATTATATTTAGCTTGTCTTTCTTCAACAGGGAACCATTCAAGTTTGTATCAAGGGGTCCATTTGCACCATCCAAATCTTGAAACTTCAGGGAGCTAGATTGGTTATACAACTTATACATACTGCTTGGCCCAGCATCTTGCAAAACAGGTTTCTTTGACATAGAATTACTAGCATTCGGAGTAACAGACTGCTGCTGTTTTGGCGATGGAGCTATTATATTAAGCTGCTCAAATATCTTCTCAGCCATCTTGTTTGATTGAGCAGGTATGGGTGGAATGCTATCACTAGATTTACCATCTCCCCCATTCTTTTCGGATTCTAGGGTCATGAGATTGACTACTCCCAACCAATAGTCTTTTTGAGCTCGAAGACTGAATGGATGTGCTGTCTTCAGTGAAATAAGAACCACTTGTATGGCTAGTAAGAAGGCTTCCTCGAGGGTTTGCACGAGAATCTCTAAAAGAAGACATCATATTTGACTTCTGCCGAATTCTACGAATGGGGCCTATAGATCCCAGTTCATTCTCTAATTCAGCCCCACTTCGTTTCAAGACCTGTTATGAAGATGGGAGTATAGTGAGAAAACTCTGGTGCATAAAGTTCAGACCACGCAGAAGTTACATACACCTCAAAGAAAGTTCCTCAATGATGTATCCAACAAGCCTAGATTCCATGATATTATACAAGGATCAATAAAACAAGTTGATATGTTGTCTTCTATCATATAAATACTTGCATGTGGCACACACGGATATCAGGAGAAAAATCATAGATTTTACACGTTCACAACCATAATTTTGTAACGTATCCACATCGTTTTCTAATATGTGTATAATCCAAGAAAAAAATGCATACTTCAGTACTTAAAGCTATGCAGTACTACAAATGTTTAATAAATTACCTGCCTGCCACCAACATGCAAACTTTGTGCTCGTTGGGGCAATGAAGACGTGTTCAAATCGTTGGAATAGTTCTGACCCTACAAGATGCATAAACAAAAAATTACTTCCAATAACTTTGGAGGCTCTTCTCAACTCATTAAATGAACAAGTAGAAAATTTCTAGTGTCGTAGAACCAAGAGCATTCTGTGTGGAGCACATACAAATAAATATGTGTTTGTGACCTCTGGTGAAGGAAAAAGGTGATATCCTAGAACTCATTAAGTCAAACTATTTTAAATCTGACCAGCACTGGTCATCAATATTTGTTAAGTATAAATGAAAAGGTGATACAAGTAAACTTAGATGGTAATGCAATTTTATAGTAGCATTTACATTTGATTGCCAAAATTATATTTTTGAGGCCATTGCAATGCAAAACTATACTTATCAGAAAACTAGCAACCTACAAGAACCTGACATAATGGGCACTAGATATATACCAACCTTAAAATATGGAGAGCGAGACATTCTATATATCGCTGACCGCCCACGTAATCCCGAAGTCCCATAGCCATTTACAGGGAGACCAGGGTTTTCCTTCCGAAATTCAAGTGGTGCCTGAACAATTGGTGGTCCGGACCTCCTATCATTGGCAATGTTGCTTGCTTCACCTTTATTCTCAAGAAACAATCGGCTCTGCAGACTATTTGATTGGGGTTCCCTCGAATAACGAGAGCTCATATATTGTATCGCGAGTTCTGTAGGAGAACTAGCACCATGATTACCCTGTAAAAGTGCAAATTAGATAGGAATTAAATATAAAAGGTAATAGAAGTTTCAGACAACAATACCTAAAAGCAAAGCTACATTTGTTAGCTTCTTCCTAGCTCACTGAATGGTTGATGCTGCAAGTCAGCAATTGTATATATAGTAGTAAACAGTCATACCAAGACAAATTATTATGCTTACTGAGCTACATGCATCCAATCAGACGAGCGATTTTACATTAGTACAGGAAAAAACATGGATCCAACAATCTAACCAGCTTTATTAACAACATATTTTGGAGTGCAGTAACAACAGGCGTTGAAGCTAATAATCTAAATGTGCACAGGTATGTCATTTGCATCCCTGAACTAAAACTTGAGACCTATGTGTATTTAGCCCCCCAAGGCCCCAAACTAACTGGGAGACAATAGGGAACAAAAACTAGTTACTAGACATGGCATGGGAACTTATTTCAACCATAAGCTGTTGTTTTTCACGTGTTTTTTATCTGAAACAAATTATAAATGTAGAATTGACAGTCTTTAATTTAAATGAGGTCTTTAAATTATAAGGAGAAAATCTCAGTAATGCTCCATTATTCTCATTTAGCATACACATAACCAAAATTGACCTTAAATAGGGCCAAGTGTTTGGTAACATAAATTTGCAGTTCTAAGGGATCTAAGTGATACACAATGTAGATAGGGCGCATCGGCAAGCCTAGGCATAATGGACAGTTTACCAAAAAGGCAGTGAGAAGAGAGGAAGAAAATATGAAGAGTAGCTGGGGAAGTTGACGGCCAGGCCAAGCAGCCACCATCTCCCCCACCCCCACCAAGCTCGGCGTTGATGGCCGGCGCAGCACTCCCCTCCAGGAAAGGTGGTGGCAGAGAGGAGGGACACAGAGATGGGATGTGTACCCAGCAGGGAGGGAGCAGTAGCACTGCAAGCAGTACATTTTGAACATCGAGCAATCAGGAGTTCAGGATTCAGGTTAGTCGCAAAGAAAAGGGGTATAGACTCGATGGTGCGCTCGGCCTGCCTCTCCTTCCCCTTCCCTTTATTTATCTTTTTCCCCATTTTCTTTGCTACTTTCTGTGCTGCATTCCACTGTTCCTTGATTGGTGTGACATCACCTCGCTTCAAGCCTTCACCTCCCCCTACCGCCTCAAGAGCCTTGGTGATACACACAGAACTCCAAGGACAAAGGAACTATAAATTGTACAAGCCTTCCTCTTGTGGCTCTAACTAACAGCATGAAATTTCATGGTATTCAGGCATTGGATAACAGAATTGTACAAGCCTTCCTCTTGTATGAGCAAATTGAATCCTTACTTTAACAGCCGGAGAATCATCAAGATCCATATGACGTAATGCTGAGCCTCCGATTCCATCAATCCTGATACTTTCTTCATTCTTTTCCTCACGAGAAACAATTGATTTAGGTGGATCAGACTCAATGGTTCTTGCACGCAATAAGTCTGTAAGACGATCAAACTCAACCCTGCAAAGGAAGTAATGCTCGTCATGAACAGCTTCAGTAGCATTGAACAAAGAATACATTGTAAAAGCAACACGCAAGCACAAACAGAGGAAAGGCGAAGAGCACACTGCATGCAGCAGTACAACAAAAGGGAATCTCATTTGAAATATGTTTTAGACTGGAAGAGGTGGAACATCACAGAACCAGATAATAGCCACTATACCAGGGGTGAGGGTGAATGCTAGTTATGAACTGAGAATTTACAAAATACATTTTAAGAAAAATATAGCAGATTAAACACAAGAAATTGAAGAATAGTAATTATGTAGATACATACTTAGTGAATGTCTTCCGCATTAACAAGTGCTCTACTTCAGACAATGCTTTGTCATCTGATGTGCCAACTATGCTCTTCCCTTTCTCCATTCCACCCTCTGGGATTGGAAACGAATCCTGCATAGAGTTTTCAAATGTCCTGGTCTGAACAATGGTGAACCAAATGATACCAAATAGAACACAGGCTCATTAAACATAATATATAATGTGTTATGTTTAACTGCAAACGGTCAGTTGCTACTTACAACATGTGTTGAATCAGGCAAGTCCTGTTTTGGCTCATTATTTTTTCCTGCAAGCACAAAAACTGCGATCAGACCAGCAACAATATAATGTATTAATTTATTTAGAGGTAATCATTACACACAATCGCTAATAAGAATTAAGATCCAACAGTAAGAAAGAATGGGGAGAGTAAGAGAACCCTTTTATTTCGCATCCACCAATAAAAACACAAGGATCCAATAGGTTAGACACCTCTCGAGCCCTAAAATTTAGACTCTAGCATACACCAATCAATCATTGTGACATATTTCCTTTTGAAGTATATAATCAAATCTAAATCTAAACAATGCTAACGCACTATATACATAACTGCAAACCACGGTTTCAAAGCTTTCCGTTTCTGCAGAAAGCTCATGTGAGCTACCACGGCAAAACAACTCGGCTTCATCACGAGCTCACCTCAATGTATCCGCAATACATCTGCCACAGCCAAAATCGCCCAAAACCTTACGTAGGTGCTTACCAATGTGAGGTAAACCCTAGCATGCTTGGGAAGCCCGAAACCCTAGCCCCAGTCAAAATCACGGACGGCTGTTGCAGATGCCAATCTCAGGGAGCAGAGAGGAGCACAGATGAATCTTAGGCTCACCAGGAGGCGACGACAGCGGCGGAGACGGGGCCGGCGGCGGGGCGAGGCGCTTGCGGAACACCGAGCCGAAGAGGCGCGCGGCGCCGCCCGCGATGAGGCGGGAGGCCGGGTCCACCAGCCGTGACACCCAGCCACCGCTCGCACCGCCGCGCTCCCCGGCCGGCTCCGAGGATGCGGAAGCCGCTGCTGCAGCAGCGGCCGCAGCCGCAAGGCGGTGCGCGGCGGCGGCTGCGGGGGGGCGTTCGTAGGGCGTGGAGGCGGCGCGGGGCGGCGGGCGGCGCCGGATCTTCCCTCCAGCGCCGGAGCCAGCGTACGGGCTCGGGTACATGGCGCGGCGTGGAGGCGGGCGCGGGGTGGAGGCGCGGGGGAGGAAGGGAAGGGGGCCGGGGGTGGAAGAACGCAAGGAAAAAGCTAGGGCTTCCGTTCCGCGATTCGCGTCGCGAGGCCCGTGTGCTACGCAGCCTCTCCTGTTTCTGTTTCGGTGCTCGGGCGTTGTTGGCGTGCGCGGAGCGTGGGCAAGTGGGCTGGGGTGCGGATGTTAAACTTGCGTGCGGGCGCCTGCCGCTTCCCGGGCAGCCCATTAACGTTCAGATTTGGTCGTTTGAACACGATTAGAGCCGTTAATGCAAAGGATGGTTCGAAATTTGGAACAGCCTTCCTTTTTGGCGCCGGATATGGCATGGATGCTCCTTTGCCGTTATCGTGACTAATAAATAGTATCATATTTTATCTGACACTTGCAGTTATATGAGTTTGAACATCCAAGTTATAGATGCAAAGGTTTGAAGTTTGTAGAATAAAATAAAGCGGCGGGAACATGTGTTAATTTAAAATATAGTAATAAAATTACTCAACCAAATGTCTTTGATTTGCTTGCACCTTTAGCTCAGAATTCTAGATGTATACATACTAACATGGCCGCCAAAACCCATAGAACTTGTCGATTCGATATAAGTTCTAAAAGAAAAGAGTAAAATGTATTGTAGGTCTTCAAACTATTGGCTCCTTCCCATCTACGTCCTCAGACTATTAAACCAACTATCTAGGTCCCCGATCTATTTCCATGCACTACACGCTTGCAGGTCCGAATCTTGACCACGTCGACCACATAATCCGCGTGGCCGTGCTGTGCAGTGGCGAGATGAAGGCGAGGTCATCGCATTTTATCAACCCCCCCTCCGAACGTTGTCTTCCTTACTTTCAAGCGCATCCACCTCTCCCCAATCTCTGTCGGTAGAGAGAAGGCAAGGGCGGCCGGGCGGGCGGGCGAACTCATGGGCGAGGAGAGATCACGAGGCGGGCAGTGGTCAGCAGCGAACTCGCGGCCCCTGCTTGTCGGTGTCAACAAGCTCATGCGTGGGTGCCACCCGCCAAGACAAATTGCGGCGCCTCTGGCACCATGGCAGGGCGTCGACGATTGAAAGGGGAGCTGGCTCCAACCTATGGTAAGTGCCCTAGAGCTGTATCCTATACTCAATGCTATCGTGCGCATCAATTTGGAGGCGTAGTAGTTGATCCGGTAGGCTTGCTTGATATGCTCCGATTCGGTTGCTTAATTTTAGGGTTGTTTTTCGTTCTTTAGGGCCTGACGATGAAGAGTTTTCTATGGAAGTGCATCATAATGGATTTTTCTGTGGGTCTGGTATTGATCGAGTGTACCTCGATGGCAAGGTCGATTGGTTCGACAATATCAAAGTCGATCTTGGTCTTTTAATGCGATAGTAGATGAGATATCGGTGGTGCTAGGTTATGATCTGGGTGTTCCATTAATGGTGGTTGTTGCTGAAAGGACTTGTCAACCGGTTTATGCGTTTGATTGCATCGGATAAAGAAGCACAGATAATGAAGCAAGTTGCATTTAAGGTCAAGAATTATGTGCTTTATATGGACCATTACAATACTGTTGATGGCAACAATTGGGAGGACATTGTGTACAACCCAATTGCAACCTTACCCAAAGTGATTAGTCCTTCAAAGGTGCTGTCCTCGCTAGGGATGAATGTGTTGATGGTGATGACAATGAATGCGATTCGGATGTTGATTTTGTTGACAAGGTGACTATGCGATTCGAGATGATGATGATGATGACCTTTTTGTGATGATGTTGATGAAGGTGTGGTTGATGAGGGTGCTGCAAAGGGGATAATGGTCAGAGCAGGGAGGAAAAGATTTGGCCCAGTAGACAATGAACCAGTAGGCAAAGAATGGGATGAGTTGGACTCTGATGAAGAAGAATTAGAGCTACGAGAATCTGGTGAAGAGAGGGTAGGGTCAAGCGGAACATGAGAAGTTTGGACACAAGATTTGTAGAACCCAATTTTCAAAGTTGGCATGAAGTTTGATTCAAGAGAGATGCTTAGAAAGGCAATTCTTGAATATAGTATCAAGAATAGAGTGGAGATAAAGATGCCCAAGAATGATAGGACTAGAATCAAAGCTCATTGTGATGAAGAATGTCCATGGTACTTGTATGCTTCAGAAGACAAAAGGGTGGACTGTTTTGTCATCAAGACTTATGTTGGGACTCACACATGTCAGAAAAAATGGGTATTGAAAAGGTGTACTGCAAAATGGCTTGCCAATAGATATGTAGAGAGGTTCAGAGCTGATGAGAAGATGAGTTTGTCAAATTTTGCAAAGACAGTGCAGCTGGAGTTAAATTTGACCCCATCCAGGAACAAATTATCTAGAGCTAGAAGACTGGCTTGGAACTTGATATATGGAGATAAAGTGCAGCAGTACACTGAGTTGTGGGACTATGGGTCGGAACTTAGGAAGATAAATCCAGGAAGCACTTTGTATTTGAAATTGCTTGATGGTTGTTTCAGTTCATTGTATTTCTCATTGGATGCATGCAAGAGGGGATTTTTAAGTGGATGCAGACCTGTTATATGTCTTGATGGTTGCCACATCAAGACTAAATTTGGGGGTCAGTTGCTAACTGTTGTAGGAATATATCCTAATGATTGTATATTTCCTATTGCAATGGCAGTGGTTGAGGTGGAGTGTCTTGCTTCTTGGAAGTGGTTCCTAGAGCACTTAAAAGAAGATCTAGGAATAGAAAATACTACACCTTGGACCATCATAACAGATAAATAGAAAGGTTTAATCCCTGCTGTTCAACAAACCTTTCCTGACTCTGAACATAGGTTTTGTGTTAGGCACCTCTACTCCAACTTCCAGGGGCAGTTCAAAGGGGAAAACCTGAAGAATCAACTTTGGGCTTGTGCAAGGGCAAGTACAGTGCCAAGATGGAATCAAGAGATGGACAAAATGAAACTACTCAACAAAGATGCCCATGCTTGGTTAGAGAAAATGGCTCCAAACACTTGGGTTAGGGCATTTTTTAGTGAGTACCCAAAATGTGATATTTTGCTGAACAATACCTGTGAAGTGTTTAACAGGTACATTTTAGAAGCTAGAGAACTTCCTATCTTAAGCATGCTGCAAAGGATCAAGGGACAGCTCATGGCCAGGCACTACAACAAACAAAAAGAAGTGCAAGAGAAATGGGGAGGGATGCTGATCTGTCCAAAGATCAGGAAGAAATTGGCAAGACATGCAGAGATGGCCAACACATGTTATGTAATACCAAGTGGGAGTGGTGTATTTGAGGTTCATGACAGGGAGTGGCAATTTAATGTAGACATTGGAGGAAGGCATTGCGATTACAAGAGGTGGAGCTTGACAGGTATACCCTGCAGTCATGCAATTTCTTGCCTGAGGCATGAGAGGATACCTGAGGAGTCAGTGCTACCCTGGTGTTACTCTACTGAAGCTTTTAAGAAAGCATATGGATGCTACATTCACCCATGCAATGACAAGTCCACTTGGGAAAAGGTTGGTGGCCCACAAGTTCAACCACATGTATGAAAAAAAGGGTTGGAAGGCCACCTAAAGCTAGAAGGAAAGCAACACATGAAGTTGGTGGACCAAATGGGCCAAGACTAACCAAACATGGAGTAACCATGCATTGTAGTCACTGTGGAGAACACAGGCACAACTCAAAGAACTTTGAGAGAAAGAAAGCGGGAGAACCAAAGAAGTGAAAAAATCAAGGAAGAAAGCTAGTCCATCTGTGCGCGGATCAACATTCCACCAACAACAACCTTGCCACTTGTCTGAGTTTTGTGCAAAACCAACCAAATGCTTAATTGGATGACATTATATGAAACTCATTTGTAACTTTCTTTAGGAGATGAACCTGCAATAAAGTGTAACACAACCACTTATGTCAACTTTGGAGAACCCAATGGTGTCACAACTGCAAGATGAGGCAACACCTTCTTCCCAGCTCCTAGCACTATTTTTTTTCTCCTTTGTAAGACTAATAATTGGATCCCATTGTTGCAGGCTGCCCAAGTTGTGAGGCAAACTGCAGTGAGGCAACCTATTCTAGATTGTGCCTACATCACTCCAATCTCCCACCAAAGAAGACACATGCCACTTACAACAAAGATCCAAGATTGTGAGGGGGCCAAAGGAGGTACCCGCAGAGAAGAAGACGAAGGCAGCCAAGGCCAAATCCAAGTCCAAGAAAGGGACAAATGAAGAGAAGCGAAGACAGTGTGGTGTCTTACTTTTGTGTAGCACTCATGTTTCTTTTGTCACAATGACAAATGGTACGCCTTTTGTCAAGCAACTAAGCTTGCCTTTTGTGCAGTGATCATAGATATATAGATCATTTGCAATGCAAACAGTAGGGTGGTAGAAGGAATGGCCTAAACTATGGTATGTAACTGCAGTGACTGGTGGTCAAAGAACTAATGGCCTAAGCTATGATATGTAACTGTAGTGACTGAATTGACAATGAAATTCCAGTGATCTGGTCTATGTCACCATGTTATCAACTTCTGTCATTTGGTGCAAGAGAATTGCATAAAAGCTAACTGAAACATACTTGCATTGATACAAACTCATATTCCATTCATTGAACATGAACATGGTTATTATAGTTTGTAAACTGAAACATACTTGAACACATGGTTCAGTAGAGGTACTAAGCTGCCACTTCTACATGAAAAACATGATTATTACACCTAGAACAAGAAAAACAGCAGCAACTACAAGGCACACTGCTACAATTTTTCCTAGGTCAACCAACTTCTGTAGCTTTTTAGCTACTCTATCACTTCCATTCTTCAGATACACTACATCAGCAAGCAAATGTGTCAATTCAGTCTTGTTTGCTTCCACTACTCCCTCTAAGCGTCCAATTGCAATCTTGATCTGCTCAACTTCATTCATGGAATCCTCCTGCCTAATGCCGGCGTCAGCAATCCCTCTCTTCTCCACCAATCCCTTGGCAATCAGCAGCTTCTCATACTT